TGGTTTTCCTATTGAGTATAAATTGGTTTGAGTTGTTTGAATTGTATCATCTGAATGCTGGTTCTTCAAGTGATGCTGCCATTTTTAGATATCAATGTCATGCATTTTTTTTTTATTTTTTTATTTTTTTATTTTTTTTAAAATCTGTTTTAATGCTAATTACTTACATCATTTGGGCTAGTGTGGTAAACAAGTTAGGAGAGCAAAGCGGGTCAATAACTTGCCAATTTGATGATCCTGAGGTCCCTGCGAAATGATCACACGTGAACTAAGCGGGGTTGATCCGGTGGAAACCACTCCGATGCTCAAGTCAAATGTATAGATCGTGGAGATGATAGAGAGAGAATTCGTGTTCTAGAATACTTGTGAATAATATAATGTACCTTAACAAATGAGTAAGAACATTTATTTATATGTCATTGATTAGGTTGGGTTTACTTTATTGGACCGAAGCCTTAAGCCTTATTTTGAAGGTGTTTGGGCTTTCGTGTAGTGGGCCTCATTTAATTAGATAAATTAAGGGCCCATTAGGTCGGCCCAATTAGGTATATCAATATATATATATATATATATATATATGTGTGTGTGTGTGTGTGTGTGTGTGTGTGTGACGAGCCTAGAAAAACTCAATTGGAATGCCGTGGACACGCGCCATTTCGGCGATCGCCGCAGAAGCCTCCGACGGGACCAAAGCAGAGTAGAGAAGAACACATCCCTGAAAGGCGTAGGAATCCTTGAGTAGGGACCAAAGCAGAGTAGAGAAGAACACGTCCCTGAAAGACGTAGGAATCCTTGAGTAGGACAATAGCTTTCATGTCGGGAACACTATAGATAAGGATGTCCTTCTCCTGAAGGGCCATGGCATAGCCCCAGGCGTCGCTCTACTTTGATACTGTCTCCTTATCATCGCCGGGAGGAGACACTCCGTTGGCTCCAATCGCCGCCTTGAAGTCCTGCAGGAAGCCTCTGATATCTTCAACCGTTTTTGTTTTCTCCAGCTTATGAGGATGGTAAGACAACTATGTACATTCATGAGAGGAAAGCTAGTATTAGGGAGTTTTACGGTGAGCAGATTTTAGACTTCGAATTCACGTCTTACTTTCTTGATCTGATAAATAATAAGGGGTGATATTATATATATTGGATATATGTAGATATAGGAGTGATATTCCCATCTTTGGTGCAACTTAATGGTGGAATGAGTGATTGCCGAAGAGAGGATGCAAACTGTAACTTAATGTCATATTATATCAGAAACAACACGTACTGCCCCCTACATTTACGGCAACTCAAATAACTGAATAATCATTTCTCAGATTCAATCATAAATCATAATGAAAGCATGGATGCACCTATGTTTAATTTCTCACAAGGACAATTTTTTTCATGGCTATGTAAAAATTAAGTTGATGATTGATTTAATTATCCTGCTTTGACTTTTTCAATTTAGTAAATAATCTACTATTTTGATTAATTTATGTGATCGAGAATTGGACAATTTAGGAAATTACATTTTTCTCTCACTCTCTCTCTCTCTCTCTCCTCTCCCTTCTTTCTTCTTTGTTCCATCTGTTTTTTCCTCTTCACGCAGGTCTCCCATGTCCAAACTGATATGCCCTCATCTTCTTCCCTTCCTTCTTCTCCCTCTATTTGTTCTTTCTTCTCTCATTTTCTACACATACTGAGATTTTTATCCACCCTTTTTTTTTCTTTCATATTTTTCTTTATTTTCATGTTCACCTCCTCCTTTATTTTTTTCAGTCACATATGCCCCAAATCCGATTAGATCCGTTCACCCACAGCCGTTTCCGGTGAGGTCCAGTCACCCACGACCATCATAGATGCAGATCCGGCCATGAAATTTTTATGCAGCTAAAACCCGGTTCTTGGACCGGTTTCCGGGTTTTCCGGTTCTTACCGGTCAAACCCGGGTTTTGGTACGTAGTTGACCCGGTTTTTTGGCAATTGTGGGTTTTCACTATTAACCGGACCGGACCTGGCGGCGGTTCGCGGTTAAACCGGTCGGACCGGCCGGTCCGGTCCGGTTTTCAAAACATTGCTATGAACTATTCAGTATAAATAAACTTAAAAAAAAAAAAAAAAAAAAAAAAAAAAAAGAATGTTATCAAAGAAGGTACATTTTGATTTTAATACATGATCTGAAATTTGAATTTTATCTCAATATTGATCGGTAACCCCATGATTTCATTCTTTATCATCTACTAAATACTCCTAATAACTATACTATAGACCACTTGATAATTTTTGGGCCGAGTCATTATTTTGGTGTAATTACTCAGAATCAGCACAAACTTATCATAAATTATAGGGTAAAATGCATTTAACCCCCTGTAGTTTCACCGTTTGGCACTTTACCCCCCTCTAATATCGCACTTAATCCCCCTGGGGTTGTCAAATTGTAGCGGCCGTCTAATAAACTAACGGAAAACACTAAATGTCTGAAATGCCCTTTTTTTATATACTATTTGTTGGTCCAAACCATGACTAAAAACTCTTATATTTTCTTTTTAATAAATAAATATAATTCAAAAAGATTTAATTATAAATAACACAATTTTATAGGAGTAACAATTTTCATAACTTCTTATTTGCCTAGTATCTTCTTTCCCTCACCATCAAATCGGTTCAAATTATTACAGCATCTTCAAGAAAAAAGAAGAATAGGAAAAAAAATAAAAAAAAACCCTCCAAAATATTCATAAACACTTCCCAAAAAATTCAGAAAACCCGATCAAAAATAAAGTAGCCCAGATTTTCACCTCAAAACCCATTGCTCGCAATTTTTTTCTTCTCCAACTACATCTTTGCAACTTTCGGTTTTTCTCCGTGGTGGTTCATCCCCCTTCTTGTCGTTTATGCGAATTTTTGATGTCTTTGTGAAGTGGTTGAATATTATTTTGATAGTGAAAATTGAAACCGAGAGTTCCAAAATAGAGGTATTGGTGGTGGTCGGCGGCGTTTTGATGGTGGGCTAGTGGTGGTGGTCGGCGGCGGTTTGATGGTGGGCTATTGGTGGTGGTCGGCAGTGGCGGATCTAGCTATGGTCTAGGGCGTGCAACTGCACACCCTTGAGTTTGAACAAATAATACCGTTATACATAAGTTGACAAGAAAAGCAGTTGGTTGAGTTGGTAAAGATGTTCTCTCTTTTGTTAATTGGTCCCGGGTTCGAACCCCCAGCCTTTAAAATGTTGATTTTTTTTTCAAATCTTTACATTTTTCACCCTTTTTCTTTTTAAATATTTACACAATTCACCTAAAATTTTTAAATTGTAAATTTTTGGTCCACTATTTTTATAAAGTGATATTTAAATTTTTTATTCTACAATTTAGCACCCCCTTGGCAAAAATCCTGGATCCGCCACTGGTGGTCGGCGACGGGTGGATGTTTCAATATCCAAAACCCTCATCTTCTGTATTCACATTTTCCTCGGCCCTGTTTTTTTTTTCGATTTTTGTCTTTTTTTATTGTTTTTTTTTTTTTGCTATTAGATTTTGGTGGATAAATCCTTCAGCCCTCAACAAGTCATTTTAATTTTCTTCTGTAATTTTTAATTTATGTTTTATAATTTATGTATATTTTTATTTAAAATAAAAGACTTAATGAACATATGTTTATTGAAGAAAAATATAAAATAATTATAAAGTCAGATATGTAATTTTGAGAAATAATTCATTTAGAATGAAAAAATATGTCATATAAATTTAAAACATAATTTTAATAAGAGGAAAATAAAAGATTGGTGTTTTTATTAAAGGCAAGACAAAAGGATAACATGGGTATTTTAAAAAAATAACCTTGGAAAATCTTCAACCACTTCAATTTTGGGCGAGTGATATGCACTCACGATTAACTTTAACGGATTTTTAGACGGACGCTACAATTTGACAACCCCAGGGGGTTAAGTGCCCAAATCGATATCAGAAGGGGGTAAAGTGTCAAACTGTAAAACCACAGGGGGGTTAAATGCAATTTACCCTAAATTATATAGTAACATGTTAACAAATAACTATTGAGTCCTTTTAAAAAGAAATCATTTTCATAGAAGCCAAATCAATCATCCTATGGAATAAAGTCAGTTTATCGGCAGTTGTTTGGGTAGATTAATTGTTCACCATTTCCTATAATTTCGTCTTGTCTGATACATTCATCAAATTCACCCCGGACCTGAGTATTTCATAATGAAAGGCGAAACAAAATGATTTAACTTCAGATCTGCTTTCTGCTAGATCAACGTAACTTTGCATGATACCGGTCACAGGAATTTGGTATCTGGTAAATATATACAGAGAAGCAATTACAATACACGCTGGCCTCAGGGAAAATATTTACTTGTTAAGAGGCAACTCAATTACACCAAATTCCTGCTACTCAATTCTGGCTTCTTCGCTTTACTTGGGGATCCGGATAGCCTAAACATAAAAAGAAAAACAAATTACATTTATAGACGTTTTCCAGTCAAAGCTAAAATTATAGTGCGTGTATGGTAAATCAAAATCAATTAAGACTGCTAGGAGTTGAAAATATTTTGTCCAAGTTCCAATAGCTGCAATAAAAAGTCATTCTCCAACATCACAGAGCCATAAGCAGCACATGGCATGGCTCTTTGGTTCTTTTTGCGACACCAAGTGACAATCCCTTCTGACCAATTCAGCGAAATCAAGATTAAAAAATGTACAACAGAGTTAAAACATGACATAAAACTTTCCCCTATCTTAGGGTGGCCAATGTATGTTCGACTAATTCACCTAGTTTCAATGAAATTATAATCGTTGTAAATATTTGCCAACATAATAGCTTTTAAATTAAGCATCAGACAATCAAGTTTCGGCACAGAAAAAGGATGACAGCTACACACTAAAAGGTGGACTTGGAACAATGAAAGAACAAGCCGTTCATCACATTTTGAATTTACATGGAAAGATGAAAGAAAATAACGACATTTTTTACCTTGGACAAACGTAGATGCTTTCGTGTTCTGATGATTCACTTGAATGGAACAAGGGCTGCTTCAATCCTTAGCTCAGCAACCTGTCAAATAATTTCAACAAAATCACATTAAAGTCAGCTTACAAAAAATAAGACAAGGCATGTCTCTGAATAGAGTTAAGCGTTTGTTGACAGATTTAACAAACATCCAACGAATGAACTGCACTATAGGATGATTAACAACAAACTTCCTTTGGCAACACAAAAGTTTGTAGATTAAAAAGAGAAAAAAGAAGAATAAAAAAAAAGGAGATACAGTTTGACTATAGGATAACTCTTGGATAGCAGTTACAAAGTAGAGACTGATCCATCAGTTTTTTTGTTTTACCTCCAAAACAGAAGTTCTGGAACGAGGAAGAGACAGCAGCTGAGAAATGAAGCAACTCGATCCACCTCATCCTGTTTCCGGTTCCCATATCTTGGGCAAGCAGATTAAAAGAGATGAGTGGTTTATCTCAAGAAAATCACCACTCACCATGAAACATCCACACGGCACTTGTCCAAGAATCCCAGATATTTAAGCTACTGAATTAGATCAACCATTGGAAGTATTGTAAGAAATTCCCACTTCAGAAGTTTTTTGTTTTGAAACCCCATTACTAGCAAGGACTTCTTCTGATCCAGGCTTGACATCCCAAATAAACCCATTTTCTTTCTCCAGAAGAAGCCGATCAAGATCATTTTCCACAGCTGTTGATTGAGGTGCAACGTAAGATATGTAATGATCTGCAATAAGCAACTTAGTTAGCAGCTGTACGCTATAATCAAGTAAACATACTGATGGGCACTAAGAAAACTTAATATCAGGGTTCTCACATAAACATACAGCTTAGAATTAAATGCCACTTTGCACGTGCATTTCTTATTACATGATTTTAAGGAGAGAGATGGGTCTTACCAGCCAAGCTACGAAGGGCATTCGCTGCTGCCTGTTGCTGGGCATCTTTCCTTGTCTTGCCCATCCCAACACCAACTTTTTCGCCAGTGAAATAAACCTACAAAATGATTTAGCTCATTGAGCCTCCAAAAATCAAAGCAACTCAAGTGAACAGCACAAAAATATATGAATATCAGACAGATGAAGTTCATCAAGATAATTTGAGAATTATCAACTAAGCTGAGATCTCCAAACGACAATATTTGGAAGTTTTACAAGCTAATGAATCTATTTGCAATAAATGAAGATAGTTATATTCTGTCTCTAATTTAGAAGCTCAATGTTTGGTTTCATTTCCCAAACCTCATTTTCTCCAAAATAAAACCAAATGTTCCAACAGTCATTTCCCTCCAATACAATATTACGTTCCCCTACCCCCAAAATATTTCAAAACATCCTAATTAATACACTCTAAAATATTGTAAAACAAAATCAAACATATATGTTCCCCAAAACAGAGGAAAACACCAGATATGCCCTATCAAAACAGTTTTTTGAAGATATCTTAAATAGAGAAGTTCAAATGACACTTGCAATTAAAAGTGCAACGTAATATGAGGTTGATAACACTGACCTCTACTGAAAACTGCAAATTGTCACTGGTACTTACAACGGGCCTAAATTCAACCTGAACAGTAATGCATATAAGATAACACCCAAAGAGAGAAAAAGGTAAAGGATGATCAAGAGTATTACTGGCTAATAATAGGATTTACCTTTGACTTGCATCTTCTTCCAATCTCTTGGAGCACGCCAATAGCCAAAGATGGCAGCAGATTTATTTTATCACCTTCGGTCTTTAGTTCTTTATTATTGGAGGACAGCTGATTGTTAGACACACCAAACTCTGTAAAGAAAGAAGAAATAACAAATTAAGCAAGGAAGAAAACAATGGATATTATAAGGTAAAATCATGGTGAGATCTGCTCCGTCTCAACTGTTACTGGTGATATGTTCACATGGCAAACTCTGCACATATTCCTATCCTTCACAGAGTGTTACAGTTCTAAATTCATAGATATGTTAAGGAAGGCTGGTACGGAAAATAACCGATTATATACCATCTTCATTACAAGAGACACAAATTCAAACAAGCAAGCCAACCATTAATTGTGGGGACATGTAAGCATGAAAGATTAAAATACCTGGAAACCGATTTTGTGCAAGAGGGTTCTGTTTAGGGCTGTCATAGCCTGCATTAGCCTGCATTACAAGTTTACAAATGAAAAAGTTGTTCAAATAGGGGAAATCTAATGTTAGGATAAACTAGAAATGGCATGTTTTTAACCTCTTCAGTCTTTACTTGAGACAACTCTGCAGGAACTGAAGATGATGTACCATGACCAAGTGAATTTTGATGAAGTCGTTGTCTGTCCGATGGATCAAATTCTGAAATTATTCCTGGGGCTCGGCTTCTGAAATTACCTCGATTAGTATCTTCTTCCAGCCAGCCTCCTTGTGGCTGCAAGACAGGTGCCTGCCAAGGCAATCTAGACAATAGAGGTGGTTCATTTGAACGTGGATACCTGCTATCTCTTCGAAATGGATCACCAAGTAAACTGGGCTCTGCAATTTAATTCGGCAAAATAAAAGAGAACATATAAATTCATGCATGGTATTTAAGAACCAAACCACATCAACTATCCTACGAAATACAATCAGCAAAAGTAAATGGAAATGCCACAACATATCTCACATAGTGCTCAGCACCATGTGTCAAGTTCTAAGAGTGAAGAGATCTACAGAACAAAACCATACTTTCAGAAGGTAACACTACTCTTGTGGATGCTGGAGCAGTGGCACTTGCAACAGACACTACGGGAATCTTGCAGCTTTCAGATTTCAACTCAAGGTTGTTAGCCATGGGATAAGAAACAGCGTTAACAGCATTCTTCTCTTCCTGGACAGTAACAAGAGGACAATAGTGCCAAAGATCATCAACAAGCACAAATGAATGGATAAAGACAAAATAGGAACAGACAAATGGTATTCCCTGTTTCAGGTAGACAGGAACTACATATAATAAGGAAAGTAATGAGCTGGTGTAAAAAACTACCAGAGACTGCAATCTTTGTGCAACTTCAGTTCCATTCATTCCCTCAGCAATTGGAGCATTTGTATTTCCATTTGGTATAAAACTAGCATCCTGAAAATATAACACGCTGTCATTAAAATGAAATTCAACAGTAGGATTGGGACACCCAAATTATATGTGCATACCTCTGAAATCAAGTAGTTGCTGACATCTGGTGGACAAGGTAAGTTCACAACCTCGTCTTCGAAGAAAATATCGGATATTCTTCTCAGTAAATTTTCATCGTACTCTCTGATAGTTTTAAGAAATAAATAAATAGTTGCCACAAAACGTCAGTCCAGAAGAATACTAAAAGGACTAAAATTAGCATATCTATTAACCAATAACTTTAACAGAATATAAATGCAACTCACTTGAAGAAACCACCTCTGACATTGCAAGCCACGTTTCTCGCCACACACAGGACAGGAACAGGATTGGCAATCTAGATTAGTAAATACTTAATCATTAAAATGGTTCTAATCAAACGCTAAGAGATTAAAACAATCTCATGAACATAAATGCGGTACCTCGGCCTGTGGAGCATAATATGGAGTGAATGCAGGAACTACATGAACACGAGGCTGATCTTTGTCTTCCCAAACCTTTAAACGATCATCTATAACCATTGCCATCTTTGGATGGCAACTGCCATTCTGGAAGACATTGAGCAAGGATTTCCTAGCCCCTAAGAAAAATTTACCATAATAGTTTAATCAAATAGAAAATGGGATGGAAAACTAAGGATGAAATTGATTCATCAAGACAAAATGAAGAACTTCTACACAGAAACATCTGAAAGGTAGAAGATAAGTAATGACTTTTAGAATTTATGTATATTACAGTACAAGTAGCAATGCAATACACTTTCCAAATCCAACATGCTCTAGTAATTAATTAAATTAATTTAGAGAACCTTAAACTAATTGTACTGCATAAAGGTTAAGAATTTCTGCCTACAGGAAAATCAAGTTCACCTGGTTTGACACAGACAACACGGTCCAGTAATTGCTTTGAGCTAATTAAGCGCGCTTCTGGGTCAAGCAGCCTCCACATTTCCAGTGCATAATCTCTTTCAGCCATGGTACAGACATAAACTTCAAATCTTTTTCGGCCTTTTGCAGTTAAATAGTTTCTCAAGTCTTCCCAAGCAGGTCGTAATCTTACTAACACACTGGTGTCACGAATCTATACAAGAGAACATCCACGAATAAGAAAGCAGACTAATCAAACTGAGTACAGGTATTAGACGAATTCTATAACAATCACTTGTACTTGAAAAATCTGGGTGATTCTCAAGGCATGTGTGTGTGTGTGTGTGTGTGTGTGTGTGTGTGTGTGTGTGTGTGTGAGAGAGAGAGAGAGAGAGAGAGTTCAAAATTTAGAGAAACTCTACTTGAATACAATATATAAGTGTAATTAAAAAAATCGAGTAAATAGTGTGTAACAATTGAAAATTTGACAATCACAACTCGAAAGTACAGTATGAACTAAAAAATGGAGAACACCAAGATATAGCAACAAAAATGGAATATACAAGCAACACTATCTTCTAACCTCGGGATTAATTCGCGTAAGAACGATGTTTTTCTCAGGTAACCTTACAACAGGCCGAAGAACACGATGCTTTCCATCAGATAGGAGAGGCACTTCCTCCAACTGGATCTTATAAACTTTCCCGCCATCCACAACACAATCAGTCTCTGCATATTGCTTCAATAATGCCCGATCCTCAATATATCTCTTCATCTCTGCTTTCATCCCAGACTCCCGAATCGCGTCAGACTCACGTGTAATCCAACCCGTCAAAGCTTCGATTCTATCTTCAAATGACTTCAATGTATTGGCAACAATGAGAGTTTCATCAAGATCAAACACAATGGCTAAACACCTCGTATTCAACATCCATAAACACGCATTGTACAGACCAGATGGCACTGAATAGCACCAAAAACATGGAAATTTCTTCTGCTTGCTTGGCATCGCCACTAAATGAATTTCCTCATTACCAAGCAATACAACCGCCGTCTACATTAAAAAAAAGAAATTGCAAAAGTATCAGCCAGACAACCATACAACCATCTGGCATAATACACATCTAGCTAACAATTCGATGTTTACATCTGGGGGAGTGGCTATATACGTGCGCTAAGAGAATGTAATCAATTCCCACCGTTACAATTACAGTGATACATATATTTTTAAAACCACAAAGCAGTCATGAGTAAAAGTACAAGAACAAATAAACGAACACTCTCGATATCATTTCCACATGAATACAAACACCCAAAAGAAAACCAAGCGAGCAGAAATACAGTGAAATTAAAAAAAATGCTCTCATCTACTGATAAAAGTAAAAATGGAGAACAAAATGCACAACCTTAAGCTCGTAGAAGCACGAGGCGTGGAGAGTAATCAATGGAGACTGCTCGGCGTTAGAATTAGAATTGCTATTAGAACAGGGCTCCAGCTTGCAACGAACAGAGGCATACGAAATCGTCTGCAGAACGGATAGAGGATGGCATCTCTCGCTGTTCGGCGAGATGTAGTGAATCCGTATCTCATTATTCGGAAATTGAAAATTCCCATCCTTCACTGAAACTGCTTCCAGTTCCCCTAAATACAAATCCCCGTGATAAACCGCGGATTTAAACCCTAATCGACTCATTCTATTCTCAAATTGGAAAAGAGGAAAAACAGGTGATGAAATTATGCCGATTCTGAAAACAAACACAGAATTGATTGTGAGAAGAAATCACTCCCCACTCTGCATGATCTCTGGCCTTTTGCAGCCTTCTCTCACTACTCTAAAAAAATTCTCTCTCTAGAGGCACTTTCTCTCTCTTACTCCCTCCCCAAGCAGCGGTTTCAAACGATGGGGGGTCGTGCCTTTATATAGAAGCGTGAGAAGGGGCAAATTACGTAAATTGACCTGAGTTTTGTGAAAATTACGCATGTGCCACCGCTTGTCCGTACGGAGTGTTTTTGGGGGGTAAAGATGGCAACTGGAAAAGTGGGGAGGTCATGCTTTTTGAGCCATGGGATGGGATTATGGCATTGTACACGTGGCGGACGATGAGGTGGTGCATTTTTTGTGCTGTGTGATTATAATCGCCGTTGATTTTCATGGCATTTTTTTTGGCAGAGTGTGACGTTTGCTTTGGCATGGATTTCAAATTTTCAAATCTTTTATTATTAAAAGCAGATATCAAAATTTCCAAATCTTTTATAGACACTTTGAAATGTTACGATATTGACTTATTTAAATTATTTTCTATTTTGCTTATAGCAATTGTCTCCATTGTAATTGTATACTTTTTTTTAATTAAAATAAAAAAAAAACTCTAGCACTTAATTAAAAACAATGAGTACGATATGATATTATTCGTATTGAATACGATCGATAATAAATAATGAATAACTAAATAATACTCTCGATAATAAATAATACCCCAAAAAGTATACTTTGTTCGTACCTTTTTATTTGTTGTGTGAGGTTTAACCACACAAACCAAAAAAAAAATTAATTAGTTTTTATTTTTGAAGAAGAAAAAAAACTAGATTACCCCTCTAACAAGATTATTTCAACATTAATTAATATCCTACTCACCTTTCTAAATTCTAATAATATCATGTCTATTTTAGTATTTTTCTTTATGTGCAGTTAATGACCAATGATAAAATTAGCAAAAAGATAATTAACTTTTATGTATTGAATTTCAAAACGGGTAAATGATATAGATATTTTTTTTATTTTTTAGTTTGCCAAATAGAAAAATAAATTGGACGGAGATAGTATTATAATTGAAGGGAAATTATATTTAATGCATAACTTGTATATAAATTTACTAGAAACACAATTGGAAAAAATATATATTTAATGTGCAAATTGTGTGCTTTGGTACACATAATTAGGCCGCCCAATGACCCTCTAGGCTATAATAATAATTTTTTTAGTTAAAATCTCATTAATAGTCATCGTCTTATTATTTAGTTTCAATTTAGTCCCTCATATCTCCGAAGTCTTATTTTTATTTTTCAATCCTACGATTTATTTCACTACAGTCCTTCATATAATTTAGTTAACTTTAGCGAATTTTTTCATTTAACAGATTAAATATTCTATTCTAACTTATTTTTAATAAACTATAAGCAAAATAAGAACAATAGAAGAACATATAATCAAATTAATTCTTTAAATATTAACATAAACTCATAAAATATATAAATAAATTCAAATAAAGAATATATGTAAATGGTTTATCATAATCATTTGATATATTCCTAAATTCAAGTCATATCAACGAAATAAATCTAAATGATTGTTTGTATATTAATATAAATTAATATATTGTATAATTTTTTAAGTTATATTTTTTATAAAAGATACTTTTCTTGGTTGTAAAATGAATTTTAAATTATAAAATTAATTATTTTATCTATTTATTTATAATTTATCCAAAATAATTCATAAATGGAATATTCGGTCCACCCTTAAAAAGATTTCGTTAAAGTTAAAAAATTAATTCACCAAGAGACTATATTTAGATGAGTTATAATATTGAGGGATGAAAATGAGATAATAGAGGCATAAAGGACTAAAGCGGGAGTAAATAATAAAATGATGGACTCAAGTGAAATTTGGCCAATTTTTTTACTAATACAAAATTATTGAAGCAATAATCTTACAGATCAGCATGCATGGAACCAAGACTGGTGGGGCACGCGCCAAATACTAATCTACTCCGGGTGCAACTTAAAAATTGAACTTTTAATCTTTTAAGGAACAACGTACAACCCCAAACAGCACGCGTACTACTTCCACAGATAAACCGCGTAGCAGGTAATTATTGCTCGGCAGCTTAACAACAATTGAGTTCCATCGACGAAAACGAAGAGACGATCAATCCGAGTCGTCGTCGGAATCCAAAGAGAGGGAATCATGTCATCAGACTTCGCCGATTCGTTCAGCGGAGCCTCAGCGCGTTTCGGCTACGAGCCGCGGCTCTCCTCGCAGCGCTTTGACTCGGCTCGTTTCGAGTCGTTTCTCGACTACGCTGAAAGCGAGTGGATGAGTGAGGGAGGTTTAGAGGAGGACTCGCCGTCTTCCGGCAGCGGCGGTGCGGTGCTTCCACCTCCGACAGATCGCGATTTTTCAGGTAACGAACCTCCTCCGGCGGCGGAGGGTTTTGCTCTGAGAGAGTGGAGAAGGTTAGTTCAAAGAAACGCTTGTATTTGTATTAGTATATGTGATATGTCACGCGCCTGTTTGTTATAATCATAAACGAAATGAAAGTATCTGAGAGAGATCCATGCTTAATTATTATCAAGCTATCGTTTCCATGTCGAATGACGAAAACGTTGCAGGAAAAACGCGCTTCGATTAGAGGAGAAGGAAAGAAGGGAGAAGGAAATGGTTAAAGATATAATCGAGGAAGCCGATACGTATAAAACAGAGTACTCCGATAAATGGAAGATTCGGTGCGATAACAACAGAGCAATCAACAGAGAAAAGGAAAAGGTTAGCCTTTTTAATATCTTTTTTCTGAATGAAGTTTTGATGCCGATTTGCGAAACGGAAGTTTCTTGGCGATTGCAGTTGTTTCTAGAAGGAAGAGAGAAGTTTCATGGTGAAGCGGATACAAGTTACTGGAAGGCGATTGGCGAACTTATACCAAAAGAAATTCCGACAATCGAAAAGAAGGGTAAGAAGGCGAGTAAAGCTTCCATTGTTGTTGTTCAAGGCCCTAAACCAGGGAAACCGACTGATTTGTCGCGAATGCGTCAAATTCTCGTAAAACTCAAACACCAACCACCCAGTCGTATGGTTTCGCCGAAACCTCAAACTGTATCTGCTATTGCAGAGTGAAGTTCTCGTCTCCGAATAATGTGTAAAAAGTGATGTTGCTTTTCGGATGATGATATATTAGTGTTCTATAAAATTTGTCTGAAGTTTTATCCGAACACTGTCCACATTTTGGTCTGCCTCGATAGTGACGTGTCAACTACTAACCAAGAAGCTGTGGGCTAAAGAATGAATACAATTAATTACCTGTGGGAGACTATAATAATAACAATGTATATGTATTAATGAAGTAGCTGGGGTTATCTAGGAAGCATCTCTGTAAAAGTTTGAGCATCGTCAAACCGATCTGAAGTCAGAAAAGGAGTGGCGGCTGATGTTTTGCCTTTGTCTGAGTGAGAACTCGTTCTCGATTGAAGGATACTATGTGGTCTGTATAAACCAGGCTCCGACAGTAAGTTCTCGTTGAGATTAACATCTGTGGAGAGCATTTTCAACACCTGTTTCATGTCTGGTCTTTGCTGAACTGCTGCTTGTGTGCAAAACAGCGCAACTTTCGCGAACCGAGTGATTTCGTCCGTTCGATAGTCCTTCAATTCTGGATCAACAATCTCTACTAGTCTACCTTCTTTGAACAGTTTCCATGTCTGCAACAAGATTTAGAAATCAGATTTTATTATTATTATTTTTTTAAATCGCAAAAATCAGCGGAGGCTCAAAATCGTGGTAGAAACTTACCCATTCAAGAAGAACCAAGAAATCCTCTCCGAAAGAAGCTTTGCCACTACTTCTTCCAGTTATAATTTCGAGCAAGAGGACCCCGAAACTATATACGTCGGCTTTCTTTGTGAGTTGCCCCATTAAAGCATATTCTGGAGCTAGATATCCCCTGCAGTAAATCAGACGATAATAATTGTAAAAAAATTATACAATTTTTTTACAAGAAAATAAGCAGAAAAAATGAATAAGAAACTTTCACTTACACAGTTCCTGCTACTCGTGTCGCTAACATGGGTGACATTATCAGGAAATAGTTTTGCCAAACCGAAATCTCCGATTTTGGGGTTGAAATTCTCATCAAGAAGAATGTTGCTAGCCTTTATATCTCGATGGACAATGCTCGGTTCAGCATCTTCGTGAAGAAACGCAAGGCCAGAAGCTGTACCCACACATATTGCAGCCCTCTTGGACCAATCCAGTTCAACAACACGTTTATCATGCGAGACTGGGAAAAATAACAAATTTGTATTATTATGCTAAATGAAAAAAAATACCAATATTATTATTTCTTAAGAAATATTTATAAGCTAATCAATACCGAGTAAAGCACTGGTGAGGCTGTTGTTCTCCAAATATTCGTACACCAATATTCTGTTGTTTCCCTCTATGCAACAACCAATAAGCTGAACGAGGTTCGGGTGTTGGATATTTGATATCGTATTAATCTCCGTTAAGAACTCGTTAGTCCCTTGCTTAGATGCTGCCGAAAGACACTTGATTGCAACTTGAGTTCCGTCTCTCAAAACTCCCTGCAGTTATGTACAGTTACACAAGTTAAACATAAGACACAGAAACGAAAAGGCTGTAAATGCAAGTACGAACTGACCTTATAGACTACGCCGAAACCACCTCTGCCGATTCTATTCAAAGGATGAAAAACCTGTGTAGCTGATCGCAGAGAATGATAAGTAAAGAGCCTCACATTGTTCGGAGCAATTCCTGACCACACCAAATAACACGAAGATTATTTTATAAACAAACACGTGGAATCACATAAAATGCAATAAGACAATTACAACACATATAAGTTCTACTACAGTAATAGTAATTAAGATTGTCAACCAAAACAACACAAGATCACTGTACTAGCAGCAACTAACGACTAATCTCCCATTTCATTATTTGCAGACTAATTACTCACTAATCCATGGCAACTTTTCAAGAAAACCTAAGGTCCTAAAATTGGTCAACATGAGATTCTCACTCATCACACTTATTACAACATTTCTTGTATAAGATCCATAATAGTAATATATTCAATCAATCAATCTAAACGAATATTTTACGAAACAAAAATTTGCCATTACTAAGAAGAAAAAACAGAACATAAATTAGTGGCAGCACAACAAGAATTGATCATAAACACAATAATTATGCTACTCTTACCTTTGGCTTCTGTGACAATCTTCTCTTTGCAGGAATCAAATGCACCAAAACAAGTCTTAAGCCCCATTACCATGCTCACTCGTTTCGAAATACTAATAATAATAATAATATTAAAAAAAAAAAAATCAAATCTTTAATGGAGTCTCGCATGTAATCCAATCCAATCAATCAACCATCTTCCAACTGCAGCACTGCATAGGATCATAGCCCAGATAAGAACTTCACAAACATAAGCCGCCCACAAATTCACAATAAAAAAAAAGGAAGGAAGAGAAAAGAAGAACCACGTTCACACCTGAAGAAGTTGTACCGAATAAAAAGAAGAGATTGTGGCCTGACGTGAGGGACTGTGTGTATGTATTTTATTCCTATATGCTTATATATAACACCTTAATTAATCATCATTAAAATAGTATTATCGAGATAATGTGTTGTCTTGGTGTTTGATTGGTTTAATTTTCTTCTCGCTTTGGACTTTGGGGAGGTTTGACAATGAAGAGAGAGAAAAATCTAGAGAGAGAAAACTCAAAGGGGGAAATTGGAAGTAATAGAAAAAAACGGAGGGAAAGAGGAAGTGATGGTGACGGCCCCCGTGGCATATTTCACGGGGATGTAAATTTTTACAGTTCACACCATTTTCGTTCAGATTTGTCCTGTGAGGCTGTGACGAGTGATTAGTGACGTACGATGACGATACTTTTGATTTTTTTTATTTTTTTTAACATACTAGCCTTTTCCTCCGGTTCCATTGGTACGATGTTATTCAATTTGACCTGAAATCGAGGGAAGAGAGGCAGTTAAATTAGCGACAGCTTGGAATTGGAAAAAAGAAAAAGTCGTGGGAAATTTCTATTTTAAGTGCAACTTAACCTACAAACTCTAGAAAACCTAAACACCAAACTTTAACCTAACTTATATCAATTATTTCGACTTTTAATAAAGAAACCAAACTTTCAACATTCAACTTCACGGCAAAAAATATGACTGCAAACTGTTCAACTTTGTAATGATTACTGAGTCAAAGAGGTTTTAATTTGAACTATCAACAAATGCAATTCAGTCAAACTTAATTTCATATATGTCTTTTTTTGGGATTTTTTTAAAGTGATATTTTTAATTTTTTATATATGTTGATCTGAATAATATAGAAAGATGAAGGAAAAATATTAGTACATGATCATGCTTGAATATGAAAAAAAAAACTATTAGTGCTACTCCTTTTCTCAAGGTAGAATGGAAAATTCGTAGACGAAGATCATAGTCGTGTTTCTAGAATTTCCTACAAATAAAACGGGTGTCGCTTAATCTAAAGAATGGTTCGTCGAGTAACATTCATTTGAAGATTATAAACCTACACAAACAAATAGCTGGTCAATGCTTTCCTATATCATCTTTAACCATGAAATTCAAAATTATGTTCCAAAGTTTACAACTGAATGCACATATAAGATGGTTTGGGCCTCAAGAATAGTATGATCTTTTAATTATTATAGGCCCATTTATATTTCCCTTAAATCCGAAGCTAGATAGTTTATACTTGTCTAACCTTGATACAATCCTTTGCAATTACAACCCAAAATCATATATAACGGTCATTATATTCCAATTAACACAAAAGCATTTCAAAATCTTTATAATAAGTACGTGTGCCTCGTGTAAGCATAGGTAGCAACTAATCCACATCTCCGTCATTCCCCGTAACAAACGAGAAAAAAAGAAGATAAAAACCCTTACGAAATTTGCACCAAGAGGCATATAAATGGGTTTAAAAACCCATAATCTAAGCATGCAAACAAATGTCAAGAAAGCCATTCACATTCATGCTAGAACGATAGAAAAGAAGGGGTTTCAAATTGAAAAATCGAAGATGAGGCAGAATCAAGAACATGGGAAACGCATACAAGAGCTCATTTCTCAAGTCTTACTCATAGAGTGTCACTGAGACATGGATCATGTAATGGCGATCTGGCCACAAATTGCTAAAATGCAACAACCCTTGTCAGACGAACGTAATACAGCAGTGGCGCAATCAATAAAAAATAAATCAAGATTACAAACATTTGTGAAGGACTCGATGATACTGCACTATTTGAAAATTAACAATTTTTTATATAAATATTAGATATAGATTTTTAAAACGTGTACGTGTGTGTGTGTGTCATCACTACAATGCCATGCCTCAAATACGAGATAAGAAAATATGAATAAAAATATGAGTCAAGAGTTTTTGTTTTGCAACAAATAATTCATCAGTTTCCATGTTTTCTAAAGAAGAAACAATAACCTGCGGTTAAGTTGTGAATGGCAATCTGTCCTCAGATACTCCACTGTCAACTTTACCCATTCTTTGAGGTGGCCATTCAACATGTGTAATTCGGCCACAAATCAAACCAAGAGGAATCTGTCAAACAGTGCCATTTTCAAAGGAAACAAGGAAGTTACTATAATATTGTATAAGTAACGACTTCAAACATGAATCAGAACCGTATATACAAGAACATCATAACGTAAAGTATAAATTTCACACGAGTTGGTGCAGTAAAGCAAGTTGTGACTTACGGGGCCAAATGATCTCGAGTCTAGGCTACAAGCTGAACTGTCTCCCTCAACCCAACAATGCCCTGATGGAATCCTCACAGTGTCAAATGAAGGGAGATGAACAGAGTCACCTGGAAGGGCAGTAATTCTCTTTACATTTTTCTCTTTGTAATTACTCGGTGAACTGCACAATACGGTGACTATTTCATCAGCATCACCCATCACCACAGTCAGCTTAGTTAAGTAAAATTTTAAGCAGTAGATTATTTATCCTATCACTCGACAAATTTAATACTAGTTGTTCCGGAAATGGGGAAAAACACACAAATTCTTATGTACCAAAATCATCGACTGCAATTCAGTGAGATGTGTGATTCACAAAGCTATTGTGTGCATATCTCAAGTCTCGGGTACAACATATCCGGCATTAAGATATTATCCTGTCCTTCCATAAAATGAAACACCGTAAGAGCTATTTTTTATGCAACTAACTCCACCATCAAGTTAGCTTGCCACGTATGCATAAGATGCAAAATGACGATAAATGTTCCAGAACAATGGTTGCATTTCTAGATTCTGTGCTCTAATCCAGCATATGTCATTCTTAATTTCTTCATTTTTTGTAATAACAAGAGCAAAATTTAGCAGGGACCTACTACATTTTATATTTTCTTATGCTCTAACACAAAAATATTCGACAGTGATCTATACATCTATGAATTTAAGAAAGTGAAACAATGATCTCAATCTCAAGCGAAAACCTAATCAACTAACTAGATCATGCATTTTACCTGACGAAATGAAACCATGACAGAATTGGGAGAAAAGAACCCTATAAATTGAAGAATAAAAATTAAGAACTAGATTTACCGAAAAACAACGACATCACCCCGCACGAACTCGTATTTGCCGAGGCATAACTTCTCGACCAAGACGTAATCATCTGCAATAGAAGTGAACACACATTCAAGCAAAAATGCTTAATACTTCCGGCGTTAGGAAAATACAAATTGTAAAACAATTAGAAAATATCAAATTGACCTGATACAGATCGACTGGATTTTCGCTCGTAGGGATTGAAAGTGGGAGCCATGGAGGAACCACGAACAGCCATTAAGCTGGCATAACGGTCGGATATTGCGAGGCCAATCACACCGGCGGCGAAATACTTTCTACCTACATTCCAGATGAAATTTCCATTCGCCATATTTCTGTATAAAACAACTGTACATTACCTGAAACTTTCTTCATTTTAGAGATCAGATTAATTATGAAGAAGAATTATTAGCAAAAAGAAATGGTGATGATCACCCGAATCCATTCCGATACGGGCCGGGTTTTGTTGAAAAGGGTTTGGATCCGAGTTCAAAGCCCAATACTCATTCAGTTTTGGGCCAATGTTTAATAAGCCCAATGCTGACTTAAGCAACACCGCCCATTCAACGAGGCTGCGATCGCCTGGTTTTCATTCGACGCGCCTTCGACTCATCTGGCTCCACGTGTCATTTCCTTTAAACGCCACATCAAATTCCCATGCCATAGCATGCAGGCGATAACTTCCTCCCACATCTTCTGCGTAAATAAAGCGGAGAATCTCCGGTCCACCTCTTTATCCTTTTTCAGACGGTTCAACCATCCGGTCCGCAGATGGATTCTCGAATGTACTACTTTCATTAAATGTGATTTTTTAGTGAAAAGTTAAGGTGCTGTTTACCGGCTACTGGTTAGTCAGGTAACCCAAAGTAAAGTTACGCCTTCTACATTTCTCCCCGGGTCGTACGATTCTCTTATTTATTTTATTCTCTAATCGGTTCTATTATTCACTGATCAGTGATCACCGATCGCTTGTTATCTTCAAGGTATGCTTATTTCTTACTTACTTACATTTATTCTACTGTTTATTTTGTTGTTAAGAAACTGAATTTGCTGCGTTTTTTTTCCTTCTCCAAATTCATACGCAAAATAGTGCTCACGTTTTGCTCGTCGCTTTTGGTATTTTTTTTGTTATTTGTTGTATTTTTTGGGTATTGATCTTAGCTAGCTGCCTAATCTGCTTGATTAACTATTTTAATATTTTTTTTTTATATTTTATTCTGAAGTATGCTGATTTGTGTAGCTTTGTATCAGTTGAATTTTTACTGTTTTTAGTCATAATTAGTCTGGGCATGTAATCAGCTCTTAAATTTGCAGAGGTGATAGGAGAGACGGAGATGAACTGTTTATTTTAGTTCTTAGATTTATGTTTGGCTGTTTTTCTTCATTTTCCTGAATCTTTTTTTTTTCGGTTTAGGTACATAATTTTGAATTGTATGAACAGCTATAATTTTGAATTGTATGAACTGTAGATCGCATGATTTTAACATAAAACTTCATAGCTTAAATGTTTTTGATTGACTGTGTTTATCTGTGTGTTATGGCTGTTTAGATATGAAGCCTAACAGCAGGAGTAGAGGGGTTACGAGGCAGGAAACTAAAGAAGCTCTGAAGCCTGTCGAAGATAGGTCAATCTTTGTTAACGGATTTATTGTCGCCAAAATTTAGTCGATCAGCAGACTTACAATCATATCCTTTCTAAATATAAATATGTAATATGTTCCGTTCATCATAACTTATAAGCATATTTAATTCTTTCAGGAAAGTCGGGAAAAGGAAAGTTGCACCGAAGGCAGAGAAAAGGCAGACCAAGAAGGAAAAGAAGGCAAAGAAAGACCCAAACAAGCCTAAAAGGCCTCCCAGCGCCTTCTTTGTGTTTCTGTATGAACTGTTATTCTTCACATTTTATGAATATTTCTCTATTTGTGAACTATTTTTCGGCTCGTTCTTAGTTCTATTTTATTGCAGTGAGGAGTTCAGGAAGACTTTCAAAAAGGAGAATCCTAATATCAAGGCCGTCTCAGCTGTATGAAGCTTTAATTAATTTATTGCTAATAATTAGTTCATAGTTTGTAGATTCGGAAATTTATGGTGTGTGGTTTTCCGTGTGTCTACGGTGTAGGTTGGAAAAGCTGGTGGAGAAAAATGGAAATCCCTGACCGATGCTGTAAGCGCTAAGCACTGTCGCTTAAATATTGTTACTGAAGTTAGTTAATTAGAGGATTTAATTCGAAGCGTTTATCACTTGTCTATTGCGTTTCATGCCGTGTTGTTTCAACATATGAAATATGACCTTAACATACGCAAAATCACTCTGCTCTTCGAGTTCTGGTTGTTTGTGCACAAAAACTTAGCAGATTATGCCATCCCTTTTTTTTCCCCAGCAAAAGAAGTTGTTATATTGATAATTTGTGAATTGTATGTCATGTTCGATTGGCAGGAAAAAGCTCCATACGAAGCTAAAGCTGCAAAGAGAAAGGTCGAATATGGAAAACTGATGGATGCCTATAACAAGAAGCAGGTGAACACATCCTTTCTTATCTTCTCTCTCTTTTCCTCCGTGTGTGTTAGTTTCTGCTGAGACTTAGCTTATGAGCTGAATGTTTAAAATTATATGCGTCTTCTAATTGACAGGATAGCTCTGCTGATGAAGGTGACGAAGGATCCGAGAAATCCGCATCCGAAATTCATGATGACGAGGAGAGTGTACAGGTCTAGTTCAAATCTGCTTAAATATACAAAAAAAAAATATTAAATCTCTCCTTGTGCATTTTGTTCTAACGCAGGCTGTAATCGGAGGTTTTTCTAGACTACAATATGCCAAATCATTGAAGTTTACAAACAAGTTTAAAGTGCATAAAAAAGCACGAAAACGTTATAGTACTAAAATATTCCGTATCTTGATTTTGTTTCTCACCCCATCAGTTTTCGAGGCCTTCCCATCATGTTATATTGCAAGATTATCTTTTTGAAATAATTTATTATCCAATTAATTTTCTAAAACTGCTTCTTCACAGGAGGCGGAAGATGAGGAGACAGGCGATGACGAGGATGAAGACGATGATTGAGGTTTGATTGTCTAGTTCAAGACTTTTGGCTTACGTACGGCAGGGATTATGGGCTGTGTATGTTAAGATGTTTCTAGACTAATATTTTGGTATATGTAAAAATCGAACAAACTTGAAAATGTAGCTTATGTGCGCTGTGTAGCTCCTTTCCGGCAACTCGACCATTGTTAAATATATATCTCGACTGTTCGAATTGTGCCACGAAATCGTTGGATGGCCTGCATAGTTTTCTACTCGCTCTTTTGGGTTAAAATTTCAGCGTATCCGTTAGTTGACAACTGGTTGTTCGACAGGTCAAGAATATTTGATTTAATAAAACAATGAATAGAAGATTCGACTCGATTGTAAATTATATAAACACGATGTATCAACGCAACAGAGGATTGTTAACAATTTAAATAATGAAGGCAATCCTAATGTATTTACAGTCACAAATGTAGAAGTAAAAAAGAATGTATAAACACAATCCTATATACAACAATTTGGTATCCTATGTATGAAAATTCGACAAGAATCCTTCATAAAAAATGAGGATCATAAGAAACTGCTATTGAACCTGGAATAACGAGAGGCAATCTATTAATATACGCGAAGAATCTCTTCAGATTTTCCTTTGCAAAGGTGGATAAGTCGATAATTTCACAGTTGCTAGGGTATATCCAAAGTTCATTAGAATTCATTCTCTTCAAACTATCTCGACAAAATGGGCACGATTGAGATCTTGTCCGCCTGAAAAAACATAAAAAAAAAACGATTTTATTAATTAAATATTCAAAGGAATCTCGAAGAAAGATGCATATAAAATCGGAGATGACAAAAAAAAAAACGCGCACAATAAAAGACGGTCCATTTGATTCTCTCTTATAAAAACAATCTTGCCATACTATTTGCGAGCTCAAATTCAATACAATACAATTAACTACGGACGCATATTATTGCATTAGTCTACTTACCAATCTCTGTAGCACTTAATACACAAAGAATGACTGCAACTCGGTAGAACAACCTTAGTTTTCATCTCCATACAAATCCCACATTCTTCCTCTCGCTCGATTTCAATTTCGGACAGTTTACCCTTGTCCATCACATCATCTTTTCTCCCGTATTTGCTCTCACAAATCTCTCTTTGTTTACTCTCTTCGGCATCACTTATTCCACCATTAAGTTGCCCCAAAGATGGGAATATCACTCCTATATATATATATATATATATATATATATATATATATCCAATATATATAGTATCATCCGTTATTATTTATCAGATCAAGAAAGTAAGGCGTGAATTCGAAGTCTAAAATCTGCTCACCGTAAAACTCCCTAATACTAGCTTTCCTCTCATGAATATACATAGTTGTCTTACCATCCTCATATGCCTACAAATTACCAAAAAAAACTCGTCAATTTCCTTCTTGATTTTGGCGTAACACAATTAAAATCGAGCAATAATGAATACACGTTAGCGAACAAAACACAAGGCTACCTTGTAAATAAGGATCCTTATTAACCCGAGTGCACCTGCAAGATGACAATCGGTCCATTGAACAAGGAAGAGAAAAATATGCGCACAAGGACTATACGATAGTCTCATCTGAAGGCAAGCACCATCGTACTCCTTCGGATAATCGGATGCCCTGCATCTCAATTAAATAAACTGCATTTAGATAGAGAAAAAATATTTACTAATTTCACCTCTGAATAAAGCTATTCTTATACAAATATTCAACAATTAATCCATCAAAAAAAAAAAAAATCTACCACGAAAATCTCAAAAATACAGTAAAAATTTCAGAACAGCACCCTCACCAAAAAAAAAAAAAAAAGAATGATTAAGTGAAGAAAAAAGACATACAGAGTGTTGGCATGTTGAATATCAGCTTCAAGCGCTTTGATTGTGTCTTTAAAAGAGTTCTTCATCAACCACACCCTTGATTTTGTTAACTCTCATCCAATTTTTCACCTCCGATTACTATTTTATTTGCAAACACCCCCACCTTAAAACTGAAAATTATCCTAAAATCCTCAACTTTAGCTCTTTAACAAACCCCAAAGAAGCTGAAAATCGGCAAGTGAATGAGTTTTTTTGCCGAGGGTTTTTGGGTAGTTACAACTTACAATGAACAAAGTTGTGTCTTTCGCTTGAACCGCACGCTTCGCTCACTGCTCCTCCGCTTTCTGTAATTAAATCATACTTTTATAGGGCTTGTTTGGTTCGTACTATTAATCATGATTAATTAATTGGATATTTTAATAAATTATTTTTTATTAATCTTAACTATTTCTCACTAAATCCAATACGACGCCGTGTGGATTTTCACCGACAGTGTCCAGCTTCCAAACATGGGAATGCTTGTTTTAAAAGCTAGCTGAAATTGGAGGGTGGGTTTATCTTCAATTATTGATTGGTGCTGTTGTTCACAATTTAAAATTCCTATAATAAATGTGTGAAATTAATTAATTAATTAAATTTTACCCACAATTGGTCTACATGTGTATTGAATTATTGATGGGTAAACGTAAATGCTCTTGCCGGCTATTCAATACTTTGCCTGCCCCCTAAATGTTAAAAGTCTCTCAACATGATCACGTAGAAATCTATCGAAAATCGAATAATAACACAATATTTGTTGGTCGATAAATATATACATACGACTATATAATATGATGTTGCATGAGTAAATAGTATAAATAAATGAACTGGTAAGTGGTAACACAATTGGTTTTTGTTTCACTCTCTCCAAAATCAGGCCAAAAGTGAGAAATATTGCCGATTCTAAAAGTCAAATAAATTGAACGACGAGCTCGAAAAACAATAATTCAAGCAAACACAAGTTCTAACGGAATCCAAATAACAACCTAGCTAAGCTAATAAGTCCATCATCAACAAACACGAAAAAGAAAGAAAAAGAACTAATTAAGGTTTTAATTTAAATCGGGGTGGTGGTGGTTTGGAGTGAACCACATAGGCGAAGGTTCAATCCTTTGTATGCTCTCGTAATCACATGGATAATAGCACGGCGAAAAGGTAGAGTTTATTGCATTTACTACCCCTGTGAAATTCGCAACTGCACGATTCCCCCCTGTCATAAAAAATTTAGCAAATGCCCCCCTATGCTTATTTCTAGAATGCACATTCGACCCATTTACTTTATTTCCATTGACCAGCCGTGAAAGGACCAAAATACCCTGAGTAAGTTTGTTATATTACACGTTCCGAATTTTTTCATTATATTTAATTAAATCTTAATTTTTATTTCTATTTTAAACAAATACAATACACAAAATATTATTAAATATAAATATATAAAAAAGAAAAGAAAAAAGGAAGTTTTTAATTTTCATTTCAGTCCTTTGCACTTTCAAAAAAGCCCTCTCCTACACCACACATAAAATCACCATTGCCGGACAACTCAAAAAACTCCGAACTAGCCGCCCAACTCAGCCACCACCTCCACTTCGCCGCCCAACTCAGCCACCACCTCCGCTTCGCCGCCCACCTCGTCACTTCCCCGCGCCGTCCAACTCAGCCACCACCTCCGCTTCACCGCCCGCCTCATCACTTCCCCGCGCCGCCCAACTCAGCCACCACCTCCGCTTCGCCGCCCGCCTCGTCACTTCCCCTGCGCTGCCCAACTCAGCCACCACCTCCGCTTCATCTGTCCGCCGTCCGACCGGGACAATTTCTCAGAGTACCGATACAAACGGAGCACGGCCTTCTGCAAATCCGCCGCCCACAACCACCCCAATTCAACCGCCCACAACCACAAACATTACTCAACCCCTCTCTCTCCTCGACCTTCCTAAATCCTTGCCGTTCAGGTCCAGAAATTTCCAGATATTTTGGAGAGGAAGAAGATTAGACGAGGAAATAAATTAGGGGGATAGGTTTAGGATTTTAATTAAGTTCTGGAAAATTGTAATTTAACCCCTGCATTTATTTTAAAAATTCAATTTAGTTCCTTACCTTTAAAAATTATATTTTTAAGGTTTGTATTTTTTTATTGCAAATAACCACGGGGTAGTTTTGTCCTTTCATAAGCAAAAGGGAAGAAAAAATCGCAAACGCGGCGAGTGAGCCGCACGATCAGCTCCAAGGGGGGTTTTCGCCTTTGACTAATAAGTATAGGGGGGTATTTGCTAATTTTTTTATGACAGGGGGGAATCATGCAGTTACGAATTTCACAGGGGTAGTAAATGCAATAAACTCCGAAAAGGTACCATCTTTATAGTTGAAAATGCCAAGATCGTGCCCACCGTACGTATTTTCAAGCAAATCCAGTGGGGAATATGTGTCCGTAAAATAGATGGAATCGGGCTTTAACTCCGGGAATTCATCTCCCCTAAGAACAAACCCATGGTTGAGACCAATGAACAACACAAGTCCATCCAATGTATCCATGTAACAAGAGCAAAATTTAGCAGGGACCTACTACAATTTATATTTTCTTATGATCTAACACTAAAATATTTGAAAAGTGATCTATACATCTATGAATTTAAGAAAGGAAGACAATGATCTTAAGCGAAAACCTGATCAACTAACAAGATCCGCTGACAAGAAGAAGCCATGACAGAATTGGGAGAAAAAAAACGTGCTAAATGAAGAACAGTAATTAAGAACTAGATTTACCGGAGAACAACAATATCACCCCGCAACAACGTATCTACCAATGCATAACTTCTCGACCAATACGTAGCCCCCTGCAAAATAACACACAAGCGAAAATGCTTAATACTGCCGGTGTAGAACAGAAATGTAATGAAATTACAAAAAGGCAAATCCTTAATCGCTGGTCCTAGGATGTACTATCAGTCACCAAATCTAGCTAGAGTTTGCAGAAAAGTTGTTCTCTGTATTTTTTGATGTATAAATCAGAAATAAAAAGGCGCAGTTTTTGTGTCAAAACGCCAACGTAGACATAGGGGACGGCGCCACTGAAAATACCTAAGAAGCTATTATACGAAAAAAGGATAAATAAAAAAAATATCAACTATCTTATGCATACAATTCATTTATTTGTGAAAAATCCAAAAATATATAGTTGTATTATATACTTGGTGGAGGCGGAGAGACAATTGATTCATCTGAAATGCCACTTCCTTTCAGACGAGTCCGAGAACAATACGCACCTGAAAATTAGTGGGAGGCGATCCGAAAGAAACCCGACCCGGAGATCCGTTCCCTTCCAAGATATCAAACTCAATATGCTCAATAGATGATTAGAGGGTAAGATGTTCCTGGATTGAGATTTCCTTTGGTACCTTGAGATTGACCTTATCTGTATCCCATCCACTCTTTTTTACTTGTATCAGAAAATCATTCTTTTTTACTTGTATCAGAAAATCATCAAATTTATCCTTCAATTCAATCAAACTTCCCTCAGGCTGGCTCAACACTTCATCGTCTGATCTGGTCCGATTCTGATGGAGCCAGTAGGATTGCCACCCGCTTCGAAGAACTGTAACATTTGTAGCTCCCTCCTACAACATGAGTTCAAGTTTAATATATATATACATATATATATATATATATATATATATATATATATATATATATATATATATATATATATATACACACACACACATGTGTGATAGGATAGCTATTCAACAATTTCATACCTTAAAGGACACAAAGACCTCAAATTCTGTTTGCATTTGGTTCACCGCAAGAAAATATTTCTCCTCCGCATATAGTTTAACAAGTCTCCTCAACTGTTGAAAAACAGATAAAAGAGTTGAATCCAGCTTCGATCTCTAACGGGACCTTAAACACATCCACAGAACATAGACGATGCATAGAGAAGAATGTAGACAGAGATCCATTCACTTTTTATTTAGTTTCTCTCATCTTCTCACTTTTCATCTTTTATATTAAATTTATCCACCTCGTCTTTGCGAATACATTACAGTACTCAAGAAATGTAAATGTTTCCTACTCAAATTGCAGAATAGTGTAAATCGGGTGATGTTTATACTAAATAATTTCAGGAAAAACATGAATCAAGAAAATGAGGTCGTACCACAGAGCCACGTTTTTTGCCAGTAACCATCTCTTCCAAGGGCACACCGAAAGTAATTTTCGGTCGAATAAATCTTTCCCACACTAACACATTTTCCATCCTGTTGCAGTCACTGATTCCTGATCAAAATGATGTTATTTATTCCATTCAAACAAAATGCTCAAAAAATGCTCAAGTCGACTGAAGAACAGAATCTTACCAGGAACCTTTTGATGTAAAACATGCGAGTTCACTAGTATGCGAGCACGCTTGAGATTTATCTGTCAGAATATGAATAGTTAACAACGAGGATGTTTCTTTGTATTCGATTACCACGATCTTTTAAAGTACTCTTCATCATGTAGATATCACATCTTACCAGAGGTGAAGAAGCCGCACGCCCAGCCATGTCGATACAAACACAGTATATGAAGACGAAATGCCAGGTGTATCCTGAATTGTTTTTCTGATTAAGCTATCAAAAATAATTGAGAATCAAGAACATGGGAAATGCTTACAAGAGTTAAGAACTGATAATAACTGCCAACAAGGCAAATCAGGAATGACAATTATTCAAGTCTTAGTCATAGAGTGTGGTTGGGACAAAGATCATGTAATGGCAATCTGTGGCAAGTAGTTGCTAAAATGCAACAACCCTTCTCAGACGAATGATGCAAAATCATGCAATACGCAGTAGTGGCCAAATCAAGAAAAAGAAATCAAGATTACAAACATTCGTAGAGGAGTCAATAATAGAACACTATTTGAAAACGAACTTTTTTATATAAATATTAGATATAGATTTTTAAAAGTGCGCCTCTGTGTGTGTGTGTGTGTCATCAATACAATGGATTATGGATGCCTCGATTATGAGATAAGAAAACAAGAATAAAATTATGCAACATTAACCTGCGGAAACAAGGAAGTTACTATAATATTACATTAGTAACGACTTCAAACATATATCAGAACCGTACATACGAGAACATCATAATCTAAAGTATTAATTTCACGTGAGTTACTATAGTAAAGCAAGTTGTGACTTACGGGGCCAAATGATCTCGAGTCTATGCTACAAGCTGAATTGTCTTCTTCAACCCAACAATGCCCTGCTGGAATCCTCACAGTGTTAAATGAAGGGAGATGAACAGAGTCACCTGGAACGGCAGTAATCCTCTTTACATTTTTCTCTTTGTAATTACTCGGTGAACTGCGCAATACGGTGACTATTTCATCAGCATCACCTCAATCAGCTTAGTTAAGTAAAAATTTAAGCAGTAGATTATTTATCATACGACTTGACAAATTTAATACTAGTTGTTCCAGAACTGAGGGAAAACACACAAATTCTGATGACCGAAATAATCGACTGCAAATCAGTGAGACGAGTGATTCACAAAGCTATCGTGTGCATGTCTCAAGTCTCGGGTACAAAATATCCGGTATCAAGATATTATCCTATCCTTCCGTAAAATGAAATACCTAAAGCTATTTTGATGCAACTAACTCCACCATCAATTTAGCTTGCCTGAAATGAAATACGGTTTGGCTTTTGCACATATGCATAAAATGCAAAGCGACGTTAAATGTTCCAGGAAAATCGTTGCATTTCTAGATTATGTGCTCTAATCTAATCCAGCATATGTCATTCTTATTTTCTTCAGTTTTTGTAATCACATTCACAAGAGCAAAATTTATCAGGGATCTACTAGCATTTTATATATTTTATATTTTCTTATGATCTAACTAAAATATTTGACAGTGATTTATACATCTATGAATTTAAGAAAGTGAAACAATGATCTCAATCTCCAGTGAAAACCTAATCAACTGACTAGATCATGCATTTTAGCTGACAAAAAAAAAAAAAAAAAAACGATTGCAGAATTGGGAGAACAACCTGTAAATTGAAGTGTGGAAATTAAGAACTAGATTTACCGAAAAACAACAACATCATCCCGCACGATCTCGTATTTGTCGAGGCATAGCTTCTCGACCAAGACGTAGTCATCTATAACAGAAGTGAACACACATTCAAGCGAAAATGCTAAAAATACTTCCGGTGTAGGAAAAAAAAAATCATCAGCATCACCTCAGTCAGCTTAGTTAAGTAAAATTTTAAGCAGTAGATTATTTATCATATCACTCGACAAATTTAATACTAGTTGTTCCGGAAATGGGGAAAAACACACAAATTCTTATGTACCAAAATCATCGACTGCAATTCAGTGAGACGAGTGATTCACAAAGCTATTGTGTGCATATCTCAAGTCTCGGGTACAAAATATTGCATTAGTAATGACTAATGACTTCAACCATAAATCAGAACCGTATATACAAGAACATCATAACGTAAAGTATAAATTTCACACTAGTTAGAATAGTAAAGCAAGTGGTAACTTACGGGGCCAAATGATCTCGAGTCTACGCTACAAGCTGAATTGTCTCCTTCAACCAACTCCACCATCAAGTTAGCTCGCCTAAACTCTAGGTTTGGCTTGCACATATGCATAAGATGCAAAATGACGTTTGATGTTCCGGAACAATGGTTGCATTTCTAGATTATGTGTTCTAAATCCAGCATAGTTCATACTTAATTTCATCTATTTTTGTAACATCAAGAGCCAAATTTAGCAGGGAACTATTACATTTTAAAATTTCTAAGGATCTAACACAAAAATATTTAAGATAGGAGCAAAATGCTGACAAGCGAAAACCTAATCAACTAACAAGATCAGCTTACAAAAGAAACAATTACTGAATTGGGAGAAAAAACCTGCAAATTGAAGAACAGTAATTAAGAACTATATTTACCGATAAAGAACCATATCACCGCGCAAGAACTCGTATCTGTCAAGGCATAACTTCTCGACCAAGACGTAGTCATCTGCAATAGAAGCGAACACACATTCAAGCGAAAATGCTTAATACTTCGGGTGTAGGAAAACAAAATGTAAATAAAAATAGAAAATAGCAAATTGACCTAATACAGATCAACTGGATTTTTGCTCGTAGGGATTGAAAGTGGGAGCCACGGAGCAACCACGAACAACCATTAAGCTGGCATAACGGTCGGATATTGCGAGGCCAATCAGACCGGCGGCGAAATACTTTCTACCTACATTCATTTCCAGTCGCCTTACACCTATATAAATAAATCAACCAAAAAATTCCTCGGAATATGAAGAATTAACAAAAATGGCGATGATGCGGCTAAACAAATTGGATTGTGGAGTAATGTTCACCCAACCCATTCTAATATGGTCCGGGTTTTCTTAAAAATGGTTTGGATCGGCGTCCAAAGACCTATGCTCATTCGGTTTTGTCCGATAAAATAATACAAATGCAGAGTTATTAATCGAAAAACGACATATCTAATATATTTTGAAAAGTGTTCGATACAGATGTTTTACATCGAGTAGAGCAAAAACTCAAGAAACGAAAACAGATCCTCATCAAACGAAGTGAAACAGAAATTACTAGATAGCATTCATATAAATCCCACTATTTCCATATATGTATACCCCACTATTTCCATACGTATACCCAACTACATGCTTACAAACCCCACCAGCTTACAACCAATTTACGGCAGATCCATCACTTCAACCAGAATACAGGAGTAATCTCCATGCCTTATTGAAAAGCCTCATTAGAAGTGATGGCAATAACGGTAGATTCTTTTCAAGTTCCAAACAGCGGTCAACGGTTCAAACAGTGAGGAAAGATAAGTCACGCGAAAATGACATCATGTTTGTTTGTGTTCTTTGTATGCGGACATGAAATCATCGAGATAAAAATGTGTTGCGAATGCTAAGTGATGAAAAAGGAAGGAAAAATTTGAAGATAAGAGGTTTGTAGTAAAGTTCGAATGCGTTGCGAATGCTAAGTGGTGAAAAAAGAAGGAAAAACCTAAGAAGATAAGAAAAAAGAAGGAAAAACCTAAGAAGATAAGAGGTTTGTAGTAAAATACTTCATTGTTTCATTCTTGTTGGATTCTTCTTGGATGATTACAGATGAGTATCCTATCCTATTTATACTAGCCACCTCCTTAATGCACGGTAGAGATCTATTTGATCTAACATTTAGGAGTTGTTCAATAGAACATTCTAAAATATTCCTATAAAATATTTACAAATGAGGGTTCTAGAAAGCTTTCTAGATACCTCCAAGAATCTCTACCTATCTCTATACATTTTGGCTAACTTGGTCTAACCCTAACACATGGAAAACTGGCAGAACTGAAATTAAACAAACAGAAATTAAAAAGTGAAATGTGTGCGTTGGTTGCGTGTGTTGTTGGGTTATATATATATAGATATATTACATATAGATTAGTGTATGTATACGTATGTATATAAAATAGGGAAAAGTAGAGAAAACTCTCTATCTAGGAAAATGAGTTAAAGAAACACCCCTCCTAAAAATAATTAGAAAATCTCCTTAGCTAATATTCCACTCAAGTGATATTTTATCTTATATATAAAAGAAAGAAACGTTGCGCAACCCTAAAAAACCCTAATTGTATTTATGTAATTATTTATTTTTAATATTTATTCTCTACTAATTTCTAATTATATTTTTTTAACAATTATCAAAATTAAAACTAACACGTGAAGAATCCTACCTTATTGTTACTTATGTAATTATTTATTTTTAATATTTTTTCTGTACTAATTTTAACTATAATTTTCAACAATTATTAATCTCCTATTTTTCATCAATATATCTCAAATCTTAAGAGATAAAGCTAGAAATTCGATCTGTTAAATCTTAGTCTATTTATTTGGATTATAAATCTTAATATAAATTCGATCTATTAAATCTTAGTATATTTATTTGGATTATAAATCTTAATATGTAAGATTTAAACAAACTAATGTTATATAAAATATGAATAATACTACATTGTATTATATTTTCTTATTATGTATTAAATTGATTATTTTTTTTATTTTTTTTACTATTTAAATATATTCCCGTGCGATGCACGGGGGAAAAATGCTAGTTTTCATAATTTCAAAACTACTCTTAATTGTCTACTATACTCTTTCAAAACTCTAATCTTATTTTCTCTTCTCTCCCGTCTCTTCTTCTCCCGTCTCTTCTCTATTTTTTTTCCTCTCTATTATACTTTTCTTTCTCAATTCTTTAGATTATTCTCTCTTGATCGGAAGATGAAAAACCAACCACCAACGTCACCACCAGAACAACGATGTCAATTCCGTTGAAGCCATCGTCGTCGTTGCCGTCTCCGTCGTCGTTGTTGTAGATCTTAACAAAAGCCATAAAGATGGTGATGATTTTGATAGCGATTTTGAGTTCGAATGTCACGATTACCATAAATTTGGGTGAGTTTTTCTCAAATGATGCAAAATAATTTAGACATTTCTCTATTAAAAGAAATATTAAGGGGTTATGTAAAAGTGGTCATATAAAATAATACTGAGAGAAAAGATTTGACAAAAAACCATTGGAGTCCTTCACGATCGGCACATAATTTTATACGATCCTAATCAACGGCTCAGCCGACAATCCGCGTCAGTCATGAACAAGCGCTGATGATTAGTCATTGGTTGGTGCCAACTATGAGATAAATTAAGCCCAAGTATCAGTATTTTACAATTTCATCCCTGTCCACCATAATGATGGCCCCCTCTTTAAGTATGAAAATCATATTTAATTCCCGGCCCACTATTCGTGGAATGAAATCCCAGAAATAGTTAATAGCACATTACACCTTCACGATAATTTTTTTACATCGCCTTTTTCGATGACGGCGGATATATTCAAGCCCATTTTTTTATTAGTTTAAGACCTCCAACATAAAAAGACTAATTTACCTTTAATGAAATTCAAAATCATATAAAAAATATAAATCATAAATAAACTTAAAAAAAAAAATAAAAAAAAATCGGCGTTACAACGCCGATTTTGACTTGTAAAGTCGGCGCTGTGTCGCCGATTTGGTTAACAAAAATCGGCATTGTAGCGCCGATTTTCGTGTACAAAATCGGTCTGGATAAATCGATTTGGAAAACCAACGAAAACACAAAAAAAATCAATTTCAATCTCAATTTTATTTCCACAATCGGCTAAAGCATTGCAACCCAATAAGAAGTAATCATAGATTAATGTTCATCAACGCATATTTATTAAGAATCGATCATCGAAATGTTTTTGAATTGACAAACAAAAGTTTAGTAAAAAAGACTTCTTGGTGGTGGTGGGGTGGTGGTGATGGTGCGGTGGGTGGGTCGTTGGTCGTCGCCGGCGCGGTGAAAGCCTCGCTAGTCGGTGTCTCGGCGGTCTGGTGGCGGCAATTGTGAGTTTTTTCTATTTTTTTTGTTTTTTTTTTAGTTTTTTATTTTTTATTTTTTTGTATTGAACAAATGAAAAATAGAGTTTGTTTGTATTTGGATGTTATTTATTGATAAGGGTATATTCGTCCTGTTTGGTCTTGATGTGATAAATTTAAATTAATTTACGTGCTTGAACTAATAAACTCATTTATATGGGTTTGAACTAATAAAAAATTGGGCTTGCATATATCCGCCGTCTTTCCAGATATTAATTTTATTAGTTTTTTTCTTTCAATAATTATTTATTCTCTTCGTTTTATTTTATGTGACCATATTATTTTATCTAGATCCCATCTTGATTCTACTTTTTCGAAATAAGGAAATCAAATTATTTAAATTAGATTGACAAGTTTGTTTAAAAACAATCATCTCAATATTTGATATCATTTATTTTAATCGAATTTAATAGTCGGAATTCTAGCCAGAATATTTACATGTATAATTCTATTTTTAACCAATTCAGTGCTCGTCATCAGAATTATAGTAGAGATAGATATCTATATATTAATACAGTTGGGGCCAGCCAAATTTTATTAATTTAACGAAATATTTTTTAGCACGTTGTCCTTGAGTCGAGACCGAAAAAAAATATCATTTAAACGAGATTATTAATTTTATCGAGGTTCTATTGCTTGATTAGAGGGTAAGATGTTCCTGGATTGAGATTTCCTTTGGGACCTTGAGATTCATCTGATCTGTATCCCATCCACTCTCTTTTACTTGTATCAAAAAATCATCAAATCTATCCTTCAATTCAATCAAGCTTCCCTCAAGCTGGCTCGACACGTCATCATCGTCTGATCTGGTTCGATTCTGATGGAGCCAGTACGATTGCCACACACTTCGAAGCACTGCAACATTTGTAGCTCCCTCCTACAACATGAATTCAAGTTTAGTTCGTATATGCATATATGTGTATATTTGATAGGGTAGCTATTCGACAATTTCATACCTTGAATGACACAAAGACCTCAAATTCTGTTTGCGTTTGGTTCACCACAAGAAAATACTTCTCCTCCGCATATAGTTTAACAAGTCTCCTCAACTATTCAAAAACAGATAAAAGAGTTGAATCCAGCTTTGATTTCTAACAGGACCTTAAACACAACCACAGAACATAGACAATGGGTAGAGAAGAATGTAGACAAAGATCATATTCACTTTTCGTCTTTTATATTATATATATAATATTAAATTTATCCACCTCGTCATTGCGAATACATTCACGTACACAAAGATATGTCAATGTTTCCAACTCAAATCGGGTAAATCGGGTGATGTTTATACTAAATTATTTCAGGAAAAACATTAATCAAGAAAATGAGGTCGTACCACAGAGCCACGTTTTTTGCCAGTAACCATTTCTTCCAAGGGCACACCGAAAGTAATTTTCGGTCGAATAAATCTTTCCCACACTAAAACATTTTCCATCCTGTTGCAGTCACTGATTCCTGATCAAAATGATGTTATTTATTCCATTGAAACAAAATGCTCAAAAAATGCTCAAGTCGACTGAAGAACAGAATCTTACCAGGAACCTTTTGATGTAAAACATGCGAGTTCACTAGTATGCGAGCACGCTTGAGATTTATCTGTCAGAATATGAATAGTTAACAACGAGGATGTTTCCTTGTATAGGATTACCACGATCTTTTAAAGTACACTTCATCACATCTTACCGTGTTAAACCGCAGAACTGAGAGGGACAAATAGCGGAACCAGAGGTGAAGAAGCCGCACACCCAGCCATGTCGATACAAAAACAGTGTATGACGACGTAATACCAGGTGTATCCTAAATTGTTTTTCTGATTAAGCTATCAAAAAATAATTGAGATGAATCGAGATTTATGTTCAGATAAAGTGGAATTAAGAGTGAAGATAATCAATGTACCAGAGCAAGTATGCCTAAACCAAGGCCGACCAGCTGGGCGGCTACTTCCCAAACTTCCTCCTGCCAATTTCAACAGCAAAAATAGTAAGATTACTATTTACAATAAGCACATTATTACGTTATATTACGATGAGCTATAAATTACATGCTCAAGGAAAAGTTTATATATTAAATGAAAGCTCGTTAAAAAATGAAGTTAAGGAAGTAAACTATGAAATGAGGAACATTCAGAAACAATTACATGGTATTACATAAGTCATAAGTTACCAATAGAGAAGAGTGTCGAATGGCCTACCTTTGCAGATACATCTCCCAAATTTCCGGAGATTGCAAAATGGTTTTGTATTACTCGAAATGAAGGATCTCTGAGACCCCTCCCAACTGCCTGCAAAAATAGAACATTCAGTGGATAAACCCCTCGTAACCAAATATATCTTTAACATTGTTCTGTACTTAAAGATACTACAAGAAACATTTATTTCACAGTTGAGTGCTGTCTATTTTTCAGTCCATTGATTAGGATCCACGGTGAAAACACAGTTCCTTAAATCCAGATCATATACTCAATAAATTTACCTTTGCAAGATTTCCTAGTGACGCCAACGGCAAGAAATAAGCAGGATATAGTTGGGTGCTCAAATCAAAGATGCTGCAACAGAAGATATTTTCATCACGGAGTACAACAAAATACAAACACGATTTTTTCCTTACGAACATACGAGCCTAACCTCCCGGTGCTGCCAATGAAGTCTGCATACAAGCGCCATTGTTTAGGATCGTCGTCAAAAAGATTACCAAATCTTCCACCTGCAATTAAATAAATAAACTATTAATTGAGCATGCATATGATTGTGTTTCTTGTATTTTGCAATAGATAGCCATACCAATGACTAAGCGCCCAACTGCACCAATGCCATCCTTTGACACCCATCTGCAGACGAACAAAGATGACCCTACTTTAGTATGCTTAGTGCCAGCGTTTAAGAGAATGTACATCAACTTCTCAGATTTTTCCATAGGTGGGCAAGATATGCCAAACTAAACAATTGAATAAGGATGCAAGCTATTACCTAATGGCAGCGGCAGAAGCTGCAGCTGTTGCTGCAGCTGTAGTTCCTGGAAATGATCCTACTCCAACAGCCTGCATATAGACTGCCAAATTTTAGAACCAACTTTTAAATACTACCTTTGCCGGTGCGAGTTGTATGAGATGCTCGAAATATTGGTTACAAACGGAAAAGGGTAGGCCCAAAATGGTTGGATGCCTAACTGTTTCTATAAGAACAGAAGGTTAATAGAACCAATTCTGAAATGTTCCCCCGACTTCTAGTAAAGAGTAAAAAGTTGTACTGGCAAAATTTTATAAAACTTATGATACATTAAACGGAGTAATTTTGCTGGCTTTCATCTTTGTAACAACAGTAACATAAGCAAGCTAAATTAAGGGCCTGAGTTAGATTCACGTGCCTTTAAAAGACTGGACGTCACCAAAGTATGACATATCCACCCTGTAACATTAGTTGGAAACTGAAGCAATATGTACTCCAAGTAATCATCTGAAACTGACTCTGCACCATAAATTGGAAACTAATTCAAACGACTGCAAACTAGTTATTCAAGAGAACTGAAAACCATGAACGGCATTATTTCAACTTCATCCCACCCCACCACGAAGTGAATAATATATATCAATATACCTGGGAAGCCTGCAGGCAGAACAAAATCCTTGATGACTTTTGGAAGCCAAGACAAGTCCGTGTCGTTTTCCACATCACGCGAATCTTGCAACACATTAGTTGCGGGCAAGTGTTTCTCGAGTACTATTCTAATTTGCAAATCAGTTTCCAAAATATATCTGATCAAAGTGCAACAGTACAATATAAGTCAAAATTGACTATCTATGCCCTAATACTGCAGCAGAGAGGAAGGATACATACACACACTAACACAATCAACGGGTGATATCATAAGCAAACTGAACATATATACCGAATAATATTATGCAAACTACACATGAATGAGAGATTAGTGCAATCTAACATCACTAATAATAAGTTAATACAACTTAAACTCAGTAAAACTTTTCATTAGTTACCTCTTGGAAGTGCCATTCCCGTATTTTTCCAGCAAAACCAGATGCGGTTCACTTTCCTCCCTTCAATTAATCATCAAATTGAATGAAAATTACGCATAGTATGAACAGCAGTTGCTGATAATTTGAAGGCAAGTAAACTATTCATACTTGAAAGATCGGGAGTCTTCTGCTCCGGCGGAATGCGGCGGCGAGGAATTGCAGAGAATCTGAGATCGATCAACTCTAGCAGGTATCGAATTCCTCCGGCTGAAGCTATGGCAGGATAACCGCACAGCCGAAGCCATTTTCGATTTTTATTTTTGTTAGCTCGAGTTTAAGCATATTTTGTCTGGAGGAGATGTGAGAGTGTAGGTGATATTCGCAACCAGCATATTTTATTGGATCTTTATTAGTATTATCTTTATTTTATTCGCAACCAACTTTTTTATTTTCAATGACTATTCTTTAAGTATTTACAAATTGCACCCATGTACTTATTGTCAGTGTCGCATATACCCCTATACTATAAAATGAGACAAAGTGGCTCCTGCTGTCAAACCATGTTAAGAAATCCGTCAATTTTCAAAGTTGACCGACCATTCCACTAGATAAAGAGGTCATGTACCTGTATTTTCCTAATTCAATATGTTCGAATTTTGTTTGGTTCACGAACTCGAATTCGCTACGTTACAATCAAATTAATATGTGTACATGACCCAGGCTGTGTTTCAAGTTACATACAGACTAGTGGCAAAACAATCGAAGCTCAACGAACAAATAAGCATATCGGATAATGCTTTTCCATTATTCAATTTAAGACGATAAAAACCTATTTGAAAATATTACAAAGACATATAGGTGAAATACAATACCAGAAAACTAACATCATCTCAATAGTTGTTTTAGACACTACAGCTGATTGTATCACGAAAAAATAGAGCCCGGAGTATAATCCGATTACCCGAAGCTAAATCTCACATTTCAAATACCTGTTTTTCATTCAGACATATTTTTCTAGTTCCTACAAAATAAATATGTCGAGGGAGACTAAAAACTAGATACCGTTGTCGCTAGAGCTTTGCTCTTGTTTCTTGCGATTCCCCTCTGTGATGCTTTCAAATTCTTTTTCTGCTGCTGCAATTAGACGCTTCACTGTGTCGAATGTAGTAAGCCTTATGCTGCAACATACAAATAACTGGAATGAATGAATGAATGAATGAATGTGTGTGTGTGTGTGTGTGTGTGTGTGTGTGTGTGTGTGTGTGTGTGTGTGAGTGAGAGAGAGAGAGAGAGAGAGAGAGAGAGAGAGAGAGAGAGAGAGAGAGAGAGAGAGAGAGAGAGAGAGAGAGAGAGAGAGAGAGAGAGAGAACCTGCTATTTGGTAGCGTTTTTAATGCATTGGGAAGGAAACCTCTGTAAAGTCCAACTAAACCATCACGAGCCACAATGCCTGATTCGAAAACGTTCGTCCAGACAATCAGCAATTGGAGTTATGCATAAACTTAACATTGATTAACTTAATTAGCCGTCTAAGTATAATTAATTACCAGGAAAGGCATCCAAAATTGTTACGTAAGGAGTGCCCCTCATTTGCATTTGTCGCCGAACTGTGTCCAAAGGATAGCACATGAGTGTGGCTACCGAGGCTGAAACAAGTGCTGTTACCAGAGACGATTCGGTTTTCTTCTGGTATTTTTCAGGCAAAGACTTCTTCACCCTGAGATTCAGACAAGATTACGATTAAAGTCTGTAAACTTATTCTGCCTGAACAGCAAAAGAATTGGAGAAATACTAAAATTAGTAAAGCTCACAAGTCAAACACGCAAAAATTCACTGCAATGTAAGGCGCGATTCCGATAAGAGAAGGTCCTAGACCATTATAAAATGACGCAAATCCTTCCTCTCTCATCATGTTTATAGCAACCTGCACAACATATAAGATAAATTATATATTTTTCATCTCATACAGAGAGCCGAAAAGGGAACAAATAGTTTTTTTTTTTTTTTTTTTTTTTTTACCTCTGACATTGTTTTGTATCCAGGTTCAACAGCCAACCTCAATCGAAGGACATCGAGCGGATAGGTAACCTAGGAAAATAACATATAATTGAGATACAATCACTTTTTCGAAAAGCAAAAATTTACAAAATTCAGTAGTGGTGAGGACATGTAATAAATTCATTTCAACTTACAAAAGTAGAAGTCATGCCAGCACATGCACCTGCTGCTAATCTTCCAATTACAGAGAGCTCACCATCTTTCCCTCGAAAAAGTTTCTGAAAAACGAAACGTAATCAATTTACATCATTAAAAAATTAATATCTGATGTGGCGCTATGCTACTTATAGAATACAGTTTCACCGTCACCTTGTATGTTTCATAGGCGAAAAGCTGTACGGCACTGTAAGGAATGATCCGTATCACCTAGAGATTGAAAAAAATGGAGCAAAACCGTGTTTTAATAGAAGATCATAAACTAACTAAACTTCGGACGCTGTAGAAAATCTCGGAGTGCAGAGAGCAGATGAATACCTGAGGGAGATTCCCTTTCCAGTACCCTTTTAATCCTTCTTCCTTCCCGATCAACGTGAAAGCCTAATTTTAAATTCAAAAGATTACTGCATATGGAAACCTTGTACAGCTAATTCAGAAAATATACAGAATTATTCAAAGTAAAGATGAAAAAACTCGGGATTAATCAAATAGATAGCTTATATAGAAATTAGGAAACCAAAGAATCCATTAAATGGGCGTATCTTTTCATAACTATGGTGACGTCATCTTTTAATGAATGCTTTATGCTCGTTCACAAGTCGCAACATTTGTAGGCAATAGAAAATCAGAGATAAACCATTACTCATAAAGGATTAAAAGGTAATGCTTTACACATCGTCTTGTATTTCTACTGTCAACGAAAGTACTTGCGTTTCCCAATTGACAATAAAAAAAATTAAATTGTGGAATATTGTGCGAAAAAAGGAAAAACTCGTAATCAGCATCAGTAGGAAAGATGCAATTGGAGTACCTCTGCAAATCCTATTGCCTTCTTTGCGCCTTCTTGTCCAGCTCTAAGTCCATGAGTCTGCATAATACGACCGAATAAATAATCAGTAAATGCAATTAACATCACTAAGCTTTAGTAACGAGAACGAGTAATGCAACAAGTGCGTCAGATTCATTAACTTAATTTAATCATCTTATAAATTAGTAGAATCAACCCCCATAATTATATCAAAATTCTTCTTTTAGCAGCAGCTACAATTATTTTAGACAAGTATGGTAGTTGACACATGCAACAAAACTAGATGAATTCATTATTTTACAAATGCTTTTAAAACAAACGACAAAATCGCATGACACAGGAATAAGGTAAAGAGTAGAAAGCATCAGCATTATCATTTTTTTAATACAGCATTAGCACAAAAAAAATTAGGAATAATATACCTAATAAAACCATAAATTAAATTAAATTATATTCACTAGAGATATATTAAAGTACACCAGCAAATGCAGAGTTAAAGCTTCTAAACCTGCCTAACTTTCATAAATAATGCAAAACTTTTCCTAACAGATTATGCATTCCCCCAAATACTGAACATAACCGAGAAAAAAAATTAAAAAAATAAATTAATTAAATTATTACTTAGAAGCAACAAAATCGGGGGCAAAAAAATCAGTCGATTCACAAACAACCACAAAAATTCTGGTTTTTAGAAAAAACAAACCTGCAACAGAAGCTTAATTCGGTCGAGCGGCGCGGTGACGGTTTTGGCGGAGGCGCCGGCAATTGCGCCGGCGGCGAAGAGCGCGGCGTCTTTAGGAAGCAATGCAACCATAGCCAATGGGTGCTTGAGAAGCTGGTCGAACGAAGGCGAGAATTCCTTTTCATCTCGTTTCTCCGCAAGCGATACACACGCGAAATTGGACCTTCTGACATTGCGACCGTTGGGGAACAATTTGGTTCGACATTGAACCGGTTCTGGTGAATTATCCGGGTCAAGACCCGGAATTTTGCGCCATACTAATTTAGCTCGATTATTATCGGTCATAGCTGAATAGAGGTTGGGCTTCTGTTTTTCTCCCCCTCGGTTCAGATAAGGTGCCGAAGTTTGGTTGCAGTTTTCTTGCAGACAAGAGAGAGAAAGAGGAGAGAGAGAGAGAGAGAGAGAGAGAGAGAATGAAATAGAAAGAGAGGACAGTTTTTGGGGGTTTTATTCTATTTTTGTTTAATTTTTAATTACTGGGTCTCTGTCTTTATTTATTTTCATACACCCCCAAATCTGAAAGTGGGTTGGATTTTTCAATATTTTATTTGAAAACGACTGCGATTTCATAAAATGTTATATTTTATTTTAAATATTATTTTTTTTTATAGCATAATTGCTATTAAAAAATTCATTTTGTAATTTATTAGAAAGAATATATAATTTTTTAACTAATTTCTGCCGGAATCTTTTTTCTTCTCTGAAATATTTTAAAAAAAAAGTGTTATGCAATATTTTATTTTCTGCATGCATTTTGCATGCACCAAAATTGCAAGTAGAATAATAGTGGAGAATTACCAAACGATGTCGTTTTGATGGAGGAGGCCCAAGTATTGGGCTTTTGGTTCACTTATTAATTCAGTAACATAGGGCCACCAAGCACTAGATCACAATAATTCAAAATCTCAAAGCCTTAATTATGCTACTGATTTAGGTCTACTGTATTTATATGAGGCAAAAAGTTGTATTTATGAGTGTATATAATATAATTTTATTAAGTTATGATTATTAATTACCCTAATTAATAATTATCAAATTAATTAATTTGTAAAATATCTTATAATGCCAATGTTCTCTTGATTTCTGCTGCTACGATTCACTCACACGTAAAAACATACGCTCGTATTAGTGTAGATGAACAGTAATAATCTAACGAGTGTACGTTAATACACTTCACCGCGTTTGCAACAAAATATAAATCTATAATAGTACATCATTCCAACTTGTAAGGTTATTTACAATACATTAACGAAGATTTTGATATAGAGTTTAATTAATGCTGACTAAAGTGGCGCGTCAAACAGGAAAAAACACGCCGCAATGACAACGTAACATAGCAGAAGAACGAGTCCCTTTATGTAATGAGATGTTCCATCCTGCAAAAACTCGGGCATATCTTACCATCACTAATTGTTTTTAGAATAAATTAACGTCGCAAATTAGAAGTTCATAAACTAATTAGACCAGCTTAATTAATTAATTACCTGTAATGTGAAGCTTGTTACAATTATCGATAGAGCAAGAGCGCTTGTTCCAAGCAGACCGAAATCGAGATCCATTCCGATTCCCGCGATCCATGATACTATTACACTTAATGGTATCTGATTTTTTATTTTTTATTTTTTTTCAAACAAATAAACAGAATTTAGTATTATTTATCGACTTTGATTAATATTTCATAGCAAGAAAGTTGAAAATCTCACCACAAACATCGAAATTTGAGTTGCTGAACCTAGAGCAACGCCTAAAGATATATCCTGCATCGTAAAAATAGTTAAAATCTAACTTTTTTTTTACATTTAAATATATTGAGAATTAATGAAAACTTAATCGGGGGTTACCAATTTATTTTTGAATGCAAAAATAATAGCCCCGGCGTGTTCTGCTGCGTTTCCGACTATCGGCAGTAGGATCACACTAATGAAGCTGATAGACAATCCCCAAGTATCTGATGCAGCCTACAAATTTAAATTCCAAAATATCCACAATTAATTTTACTCAAATGTATTATATAGTTGAATATATATTTTAAACAAATAAATAATATATGTGCAATATAAATATTAGTTACTTACTTCAATAGTGGCCACAACATATTCAGAGAGAAGAGCAACAACACCAGTCATTAGAGCTAACCAAATAAACGCACTCCAGAAACTAATCACCGGCGATTCGTCATTCGATACAACATAGTCGTCGTCGTTGTTTTCTTCACTCTGAAAAATTTAAACACAAAATCAATTTTTCATACAAAAAAATAATGAAACACTATTAATAAATAAGAAATAGAAAATAAAAAAAGTCACCTCTTGTTCTTCGAAAAATTGTCGATGAGTCCACAACTGGAAAAGTAGATAAGCGATGTACGCAACTAGCATAATTACGCTACACGCCCTCGACAACTGAAGTGTCCGAACCGCTATCAGTTCCGTAGATTTTCCAGCAAATTTAAAAATTAACGGAAAAACATGGCACATTAATCCCAACAACAAAAGCAGCGAGTTCACATCCGCTTGTTTCTGTCGATTTCGATACAAAGAATAAATTAATAACATTAATCAGATAAAATCATAATATTTTCAAATTAACATTATTATATATACGGATTTAATTTTAATTTTAATTTTTTTACTTACTCTGTCGAATTTTTGTTGCTTGGATAAATTAACAATGCCACCGCAGAAAAGAGAGCTTCCGAGAACTAAAAGAAGGTTCGAGAGAATCGAGCCGAGAAGAGAGTACTTGACAACATCTACTTTGTGTTTAATCAGAGCAAGTATTGCAATTATCAGCTCTGTTGCATTTCCACATGTTGCATTTAAAAGTCCCCCAACTGCATAACATAATTAATTACAGCAATAATTATTAAATGGTACAATTAATGTTTTATTAATTACAGCAAGAATTGTTTTTTTTAATTGTAATTCGAAAAAAATAAGGTTGAATGATTTGATTTAATCACCTGTTGGCCCTGTGAAGAAAGCAATTTGCCTGCAATTTGACAAACTGTTAGCCCCTGATAAATATTATATAGTTTATTAATAAAAAAAAATGAACTATATATATTAAAATTAAAAGTAATCATTTCTTACTCTGTGAGGAAACTGATACGTTCGGCAAGTGGGGTGAGACCAAGCAGACTCAAAGCAAATATCCATGGCTGCTTATAATTAATTAGAAGATAATTAATTAACCACAATTAATTATTTGAGATAATTTCAATAAATGCAAATGAGCACATTATATTATATTAATAAAAAAAAAGTGTCAGAAACAATTTTTTAATTCATTCAAAATTAAATGCAAAATAATTGATTAAAATTTTAATATTTGCCATGCAGGCTGCAAGATGCTATAGAACTGGATGCAATAATTAATTAACTAATTAATTCAAATTACCAATAAAACAAAAAATGAAATAAAAAAAATAATAAAAAATTCTTACACTTTCGTAATTGCGACATTTAGCAAAAATGGCAAAAGGGATAGCAACAAACAAAACAGAAAGCTTCGTCCCCAGCAAAACTTCCTGCAAATTAGCCAAAAACAATCTCAACAACCCGACCCGAATTCTTGAAACCAGTGAAAGATCCGATTTCTTCCGGAGTGAAGAAGCCGACATGTTGTGGGATCTCCGGCCGCCATTCTTCATCTCTTTGCTCAACACCTTTATATTTCCATTTTCCAAAAGCCACGCCTCTGGTTCTGGAGATGCCGCCATTTTTCTTCTTCTTTTTTATTTATTTATTTATTTTAAATAATAATAAATTGTTTGTGAATTTAGTGGGTTTTGGGTATATGCCTAAAAAACAACGAAAACTCATGCAAATAGAAGCAAGGCTGAAGTGACAGCGAGTGTACGATGTGCAAAAGGTGGCAGCATTAATCAACTTTTATTTTGCTGCCTTCTTTTTTTTTAGGTCTGGTGATGTAATAAATATGTATGTGCGCATGTTTTGTGTGTATATATATACAAAATATATATATTAACAAATAAATACATGGATTGGGAATTTTCCGCGAAGCTTCAGTTCTTACCATGAACAACGTAACAGCATCCAGCTTTTGCCACCTGTGTATATATATATCCCGTGATTCTTTTTCTTTTAATTGAGTTTCCCATTTTTTTTATTTTTTTTTTCAGATTTGTATGGATTAATTGCAGACTCCTACTAAAGTATTTATTTATTAGGAGATCATATAAATTTATTTCTGTATTTGGCAAGAGTTATTAAGGAATACGAATTTATGGTTTTTAATTGAGTTTCCCATTTTTTTTATTTTCAGATTTGTATGCATTTATTTCAGATTCCTAAGCTCTTTATTACAAAATAATATTTGTTATAATATTGTGGACTTTAGCAAATGGGTTATTAGTCTTTTGACAAGTGTTAGGACATGTGTAGTCATTTCCAACAATGTTAGATGAAATGTTGACAAGTGTTAATGATGACTTATCACTTTGTATCTATAAATACATGTACAAGTGAATTAATAAAACACAATTTTTGGCTAGCATTTCTCTCTCTCTCCTTATACACTCTCTCTATCTTTCCCACTCACATTTATATTATATTATATTGTAATGATATTATATTATATTAATTAGTATATATACATATATACATATCCGTATATACTAATATATATATATGTATATATATACATACATATACATAACCGTATATACATATATATATATTAGTTACACATTGATAACTAACTAATACTGATTAATTAATAATATTCACACCATTAGTGTTTATACTATATAGAGCTTATGGGAATTATTTCACAACACGTTATCAGCACGAGGTTCTGGTCGAAAAAAGGTAGGTTATGTAAGTTTGTTTATGTTATTTCATTTTATTTGATAAAATCCAGATCCTCGATATCAAAGGGTGAAGCAAATACTACGGTATTTTATACGCCACCGATTTTCGGAGGAAAGGAAGGATATATATCTATAATTATGTGCATGTTGATTTATGAGGAAAAAAAGAGTCATTATCTCTGGCCTCGACTATGAATTTTCAACTTGCATTACATGATTTTGATTTTGTAAATTTAGAAACATGTAATTGGCATGTGCAAGTTTCGATCTATTTATTTAATAATCTTGTTTAAATTAGCAAAAGAAAATGGGCTGATTTAGATAAAGAAATGAAAATGACTCCGTCCCATAGGAGCCCAAATTAAGAGTCGATTTAAAGGCTATGAAAATTACTCCGAACATAATGTTCGTAGAGATGGTGGACGTTGTAGTCCCCAATAATGGCCGATATAGAAGCCGTAAATATAACCCCGGGTGTGATGCCCGTAGAGACTAGAGTCACTAAAAGTTGTGATTTTCCTCAAAGGCCAGTGAGGTTATTAAAATAAAATTAATTGGGTGCAATACCCATATAAACGATTGACATTTTTGTTAAGGGTCGATTGAAAGGCCATTATAAAATTAAATATGGGGTTAGGCCTACAATGACGAAGTGAAAAATAGTTCTCGTCAAGATGTTTTTAAATTGACTAGAGTGGATGTAGATATTTCCGCCGACATAATCATCTGGTCAAAATAAATTAAAACTCCTGAGTTTATTGCCTACGAATATATTTTGGCCTATGAGTAAAGGTTATATATTTGAGATCATGCATGATAATATTCTTAATGGTTACGATATAACTCTCTCGATGTAACGGTTTTCGAGATTGAATTTATTTAATTATGAGCATACCTCCCTCGGACGATATATACCCGAGGTTGAGCCTATAATATTTTCTCGAGATAAATATAAATGACGTCAAATTTAAATACTTCTCTCGGATGATTTTATTCCCGAGATTGAGCTAATTTCTAAAATAAGATTTATATATCTCTCTCGGAAGAAATATGCCCGAGATCGAGTTTATAATATCTCCCTCCGACGATACATTCCTGAGGTCGAGCTTAATTATATATTCCCCAAATAAAAATTTACGACTCTCTAGCTTGGACGATTTATTCCCGAGTTTAAGTTAGTAAAACTCTCTTGGAAGAAATATTCCCAAGGTCGAGCTTATACACCCCTGATGATATTGGTAATATTTCAAAGTTAATTTACTATGTCTACTAATTGTGTAACATGTACATATCTCTCTCGGATGTTAAATTCCCGGGATGCAGTTTGCAAAACACCATCGAACGAGAAATTCTCGAGGTTGAAATTGTATATATCTATTGGATGTTAAATTCCCAAGATTGAGTTAGCATTTTATTGACATATTATTTAATATGGATGTACATGTGAACAAATATAATAGACTATTGTTTATGGTATTATAATTTCGAACTTTGAAATTGAGTTATATATCTTTCTCGGACTGATTCCCGAGATTAAGATAAGTTACATATCACCCACGAGTGACATATTCACGAGGTCGAATTTTAAAAGTTCTCCTTCAGATGAAATATTCCTGAAGTAAAGTTTGCATATCTCCCCTGAAATATATTATATTCCCGAGATTGAGTTTAAATATCTCCCCGGACGATGTATTAGTCTAATTGACAATTTGATATATTCTAAATTTTATTGAGTGTGATATTGCGCAAAGCACGAAGTAAACTAAATTACTTTCCGTAGAGATTATGGCTCCGGGAATAAACAATTGTTCTACTTATTAAAAGCATTAGCTCTTGTATTGTATTGTGTCCTAATTCGAGTTTTTCAATTACTACACCACCATGCCATATAAACTAGTTAATCCTGAAATGTTCAGGTTTTGGCATATTAATATGGGGACGCCCATAAAATATTATGGTGGCTTGAAATAAAGAATATACTACGGACATTCGTACGATATAAGGATCCTTATGTCCAAAGAGAATTTCTGTAATTTATAGAAATCTCGTTATATAACCTTTTGTGCAAAAAGGGTTGATAATATTTCTGGACCAATGCAACATTCTAAGTGGACCAATATTTTAAATATTTATGATTTTGTTCGACGCATCTTATGGATGGTCTCGCGTATGTTTATTGTATTCATGCAATATGATTGCACGTTTTCTACACAAGTTACTATACCCCGTGCATATGTGAATGGACAGTGCCGGAGAAACTAGATCAAAATAATTTTGATGAGATTTATGCAGAGTACTTGGGATAAATATCAGTATTTTGTAGCACACGCTCACACTCATATGGATTAATTAAATCCACTGAATGAACGAGTCATGATAAACATGCTCCGGATAAATATGTAGAGATTAATCTCTCGACTAAGGGCAATTACAATTATAAAATTTCGGGATGATTAATCCAGTGAATCACGTTCAAAACAATAGAATGTCGGTAGAGTCAAGTTTGGCCTAAATGCGAGAAAGCGATTAAATCGGAATTGGCTTTCCCAGAGAAACGAAATAAATACGGATTAATGGTACCAACTCCGAACAATATAAATTCCCTAGATATAAATGGGGTTTTGTTTGTTCGTTAGAGGAATAATAACAACAAAATTGTTCATTATAATGTGTGCCTTGTAAAATATTGATTCTACCGAGTATATGGGAATGATTATATTTAAATGTATTTACCGGTACATCATTTTTTCGTTTCCAAGGGTTGTCCACGAGGGAATGGACATACGTCTAACAGACATTCTAATGTTATCTTTATGGTTCACTGAATTTTGATATTGCAAAGACGAAGTGATAATATGTTGCACTCTTTTTCCCTTTCCGACATAAGGTTTTTAACGAGGCAACTTATGATTATTAAATAGCCTATTTCGGAGGCCTAAGGTTTT